GCTAGCCAACCCACCTAACAAAAAATACTAAGTTTTTTTTTTTTTTTTAGACAGGGTCTCGCTGTGTAGTTCAGGGTGACCTTGAACTGACTATGTAGCCCAGGCTGGCCTTGAACTCACAGCAATCCTCCTGCCTCAGCCTCCCAAATGCTGAGATTACAGGCATGCACTACCATCCCCAGCTAAGGGAAGTTCTTAAGACTAAAGGCAAGTATTCCTGCACAGCAATTCAAATTCATACAAAAAAAAAGGAGCACTGACAAAGGTAATTATGTAATTAAAAAGGCAATACAAATGCATAATTTGTTCTAATTGTTTTAACAAGCAATTTGTATATGTGACACTTTTTTTTTTTTGGTTATGGGGATCGAACTCGGGTCCTTGTGCTTGCAAGCCAGGTGGCAGAACCACTGAGCTAAATCCCTGGCTCAAGCAATTTGTATAAAATAATACGTAAATAATTGCTTGTTGGACCTGGAACACTGGAAATGTATATTGTAATATCCCAAAGTATAGCACCCGGACATGCTGAGGATTTTGAACTGAAAGAGACTGGAAGGGCCTCAGAAATAAGGTCTCTAACCTTTTCCAGCCCTCCTCTCTCTTCCCCAAACCCCAACTTGTGGCATAGAAACTAGAACTACTCTCCTAAAAAGCAAATCATAAAACCCACAAAGGACACTCTCTGACCTTTTCCCCCAATTCCCTGGTTTCCTACTTTTCCTCACTCCAGAGGGGTCTTGTCCCTCCCAGAGGAGGGGAGAGGGAGATGTCACACAGAAAAGTAGAGAAGGATCTCAACCAACGGGCCTTGATGAGTTTTCCCCTCTCAGTCGATTACTATTAAAACATAACCCTTTCCAATCATGTTTGTCACAACTATCCTCAGCTTTCATCAGACTTAGCATGAAAACACATACATTTGTTTTTTGGATCTTCATTTCTGAAGGCTTCCATGTCACATAAAGCTTTTAAAAATAAATTTGTTATGATTTTCTCTTGCTAAACTGTTTTTTATTTCAGAAATGTGGACACGACCTTTGTGATGAGTGGGGAATAGGGTCTGCTCTGTTGTCCCTACAACTACAGCTCAATGAAACCCATTCAATATGTGTAAGTCCATGACAATCCGTGACAGTACTGAAGACTGAGCCCAGGGCTTTGTGCCTGTGAGGCAAGCACTCTACTACTAAGCTACACTTCCAGCCTACTTTTTAAAAACTTAATTGGTGTCTTTTGGAGGTCATCTTTTGGAGCTAAGTAAGTCACTGACTTACAAACACTGGAGTTGCCAACTTTCACAGATACAAATGGACCTCGTACTACAAATATTAACAGATGCCAAACATTTAGACAGCTGTGCTGCTGGGTGCTCACTGCTCAGTGTGATGGTGCACAGCAGTGTGGTGCTTAATCAGAGCCCAGGCTGTCTGGAAGCAAAAGGAAAAGCAGTATATGTGGAGGGGACTGCTGGGAAGCGCAAAGAAATACACATTGTATATCTGTGTTGAAGGTGTATAAGACTCACTTTGTTAGACTTACAAATGAATCTGACTTACAAATGTACCCCAGAACGGAACTCCTTCATAAGTCAGGGATTTACTGTGGTTCATCTTAAAATTGGTAAATAAATTAATCCTTTACCCTGGGTTTTTTTCTACGTGAACTACATTAGTGCGTAACCAGAGGAGGAAAAATGTTCCTCTATAAAAGTATTCCTTTTTGCTATTTATTTATTTAAATTGAAATTTTGAGGGGCCGGGGATTTAGCTCAGTGGTTTCGCCGCCTAGTGGGCAAGTGCAAGGACCCGAGTTCGATCCCCAGTACCAAAAAAAAAAAAATTTAAATTTTGATTTTTTGAGACAGAGTCTCACTACATAGTCCAAGCAGCCTTGAACTTGCTATGTAGCCCAGGCTTACCTCGAATTCATGATCTTCCTGCCTCAGCCTCCTGAGTACTGAGTTTGCAGATGGGTGTCACCACATGTGGCTCATAAAAAAAAAATTCTAGGGCTAGGGATTTAGCTCAGTGGTTCTGCTGCCTGCCTTGCAGGTATAAGGACCTGAGTTCGATCCCCAGTATTAAAAAAAATTTAAAAAAGCATTCTAAGTAATAATTTAAAAAGAGAAGATAAAGTTAAAATGCCACCACTTTGCAAATGAATGATGGATCTAGCCATTAAACAATAATGGCTACTAAAATTACAAAAAGATATTCACAACATATGGGCCTCCTGATCAAAGAAGAGAATAATCCCTATAGTCTTGCCAAAGGGACTGAGCCTCATACTAATCCAGCCTCTGGATCTAGCTGCCAATTTGCAGGAAATATAAAAGACAGAGAAACACATTGAATTCCCCTATGGGTATCCAATAACCAAAATTCAGACTAAAAAATTCAGCTAAGCAAATGGTCTTGATTCAACAGATAAGCTTACAGACATACAAGGATATAGAGAAAATGTAGTCTCCCATTTGGCTGGTGGGAATGCAACATTGATGGAAGTACTTTGGAAAACAGTCTGGCGGTTCTTTAAAAGATTCAATATATGGGCTGGGGGTTTAGCCCAGTAGTTTTGCCGCCAGTACCAAAAAAAAAAAAAAGAAAGAAAGATTAGACATATAATGATCAAATGAACCACAATTCCAATTCCTACATACGGTATATACCCAAAAGACACAAAAATATAAATCAAGAAAATCTGTACAAATGTTTACTGTAGCATTATTCTTAATCATAAAGAAGTAGAAACAAGCCAAATGTTTGTCAACTGATGAATCATAAAAAACATGGTATAGTCACACAATGGAATATTACTCATCCACAAAAAGAAATGAAGTATGATATAGACTACGACACAGACAAATCTCAAAAACAATACGCTAAGTGAAAGAAGACAGCCCCAAAGGACCAGGTATTGTATAATTTCACTTACAGGGAGCATCCAGACTAGGCACCTTCACACAGAATAAAAGTAGCTAACTGGCTACCGAGGCCTGGAAGGATTGGGAAGAAATGGAGAGTAAATGCTAGGGGGTGCAAGTTTCTTTTGGGGTTGATAAATATACTCTAAAACTATGGTGGTTATGGTCACACAACTCTGTGAATACACTAAGAACTACCAAATTGTACATTTCAAATGGGTGATTGTATGGTATGTGAATCATATCTCAAAAAAGTTATCACAAAATAAAGGTAGATTAGTGCAAAGCACTAACTCTGGCCATGTAGAATACAAGAGATTACACCTGTCTTCAAGGAACTTATTTTTTTGGGGGGGAGGGCAAGGACGAGGATGAAAGGGGGTTGAAACAGAGAGAGCAAGAGAGAATATTTGAGCTGGAGGAAGAACTAGGCCATGTCAAAAATTAGGCTAGGTGTAATCCCAGCACTCTGGGAGGCTGAGGCAGGAGGCTCAAAAGTTGAAAACCCATGGGCCAGGGATTTAGCTCAGTGGTTCCGGCGCCTGCCTCGAAAGCACAAGGCCCCGAGTTCAATCCCCAGTACAAAAAACAAACAAAACAAACAAACAAACAAAAGTTGAAAACCCAGCCTGAGCTACTTAGGTACACCCTATCTCAAAATAAAAAATAAAAAGGGACAGGGATGTAGCTCACTGTGAAGGCCCTGGATTCAATCCCCAGTACCACACACACACACACACACACACACACACACACACACACAAAAACAAACTGGCACAAAATTTACAAATAATAAACTAGTAGATCTAGATGGTCTAGAAGAGGATAAAGGCTTTAAACTACATTATGAAACAAAGGCAATTGGGACATAGATTTTTATGAAGGCTATAGTATCCCCAGAGGCAAAAAGAATGTAGGGAAAAAGTTTGCAGAGCTCCAAATCATAGAAAACATTTATTCAGCATTTACTGTATTTTAATCTTCTTAGCATATCAAATCATTTAAGCCTCACAACAAACCTATGACAGGGCCCTGCTGTTATTTCCACTGTACGTAGGAGGCACAGAGATGGTTTTGTACAGCTGAGAAGCACCCTGGGCATGGACTGTAAGCCCAGACCACCTGAGTTAGAAGCCTGGTTCTGCCATTAACATCACCTGTGTAACTTCAAGTAATCATTTTTAGCTCTGTGCCTCAATGTCCTCTTCTTTAAAAGGGGAAAGTGTAGGGGCTGGAGATTTAGCTCAGTGGTACCATGCCTGCCTCGAAAGCGCAAGGCCCTGAGTTCAATCCTCAGTACCGCAAAAAACAAAACAAAACAAAAAAAGGGGAAAGTGCTGAAGGTGTCGCTCGATGATAAAGCACTTTGCATGGCAAGGCTCTGAGTTTAATCCAAAGCACAGCTAAATAAACAGAGAATAATACCAGTACCTTCATCACAGGGTTGTTGTGAAGATTAAATGACTTAATGCATGTAAAACATTTAGAATGGTTTCCAGCAGAATGTACTCATTAATAGTAGATATTACGATAATGACAGAAAAAATCTTTCAGGAAAAGCATGCAAGAACTGTCCTCCCACTTCTATGAATGTGTACATCTTTGTCCCTTTATGTTCTCCAGGACTGACTATTTGTATTTTAGATTGCCATTTTACATAGGACTGAGACTGTGCTCCCTTTTGAGGCATCTGGTACAGAACAATTTAAAAATTATTGTTTGCCAGTCTTTCCAAAGAGGGTGCCATTTTTCCAGGAAGCAGGAAACTTGGCAGATCCTATTACAATACTGGCAGAAGGAGTTAAATGACTTTAAAATTTGCAAAAGGTAGAGCTTAAACAGAGGAGGCAACTCTGCTAACGGTGTGGCCCGAGAAGCCTGAACACATCCTGAGGAAGCCTGCATAGGTCTCAGGGCTGCAGTGGGCTCGCCTGAGGGAAAGCATCTAGTGCTACAGGTATGAGATCTTTCTGTTCCTTTAGAGGAGTCGCTCTTCTTGGCCACAGTCCAGACAAAGAGGGCCGACAGTGTCAGCAGTAAGGAAAGGCCAGGCAGGGTCCCCAAATACACATACTTTCCATAAGAAGTATCTTTTAATACTAGTTCTGCACCTCTATACCAGCGTGTGGCCACATAATCTGTATAAATGTCGCCGGGAGCTGCTAGCGTTCGTGCAAAACCAAAATCACAGAGCTTGGCAATTCCTGACTGGGACACTAAAATATTCTCAGGTTTTATATCTCGATGAATAATCTAAAAAAACACAGAAAATGAAATATATTAAAATGAGGTTTCTTTATCTGGGGAATCGCTCCAAAATTACAGAGAAAAACTAGCTAAGACAGTGAACCTATGTAAAAATAGTTACATATTTTTAATTTCTTCTCCATCCATTACTTCAAAATGAAATGAAAACAAGACAAACAATACTGAAAAGGTAAATCACATTCAAAAGATGGAAGGGAGCCAGGTGTGGTGGAACACACCTGTAATCCCAGCACTCAGGAGGCTGAGGCAAGAGGATTGCCATGAATTTGAGGCCAGGCTGGGCTACATATTGAGTTCAAGGGCAACTCAAACTACAGAGCAAGACCCTGTCTCAAAAAAACACTGAAAATAATCGAATGTCTGTCAGCTGGTATATGATAAATAAAATATACTATTATCCATACAATAGAATATTACTCAGCAAGTAAACAACACATGCTACAACAAAGATAAACTTCAAAAACATTATGCTAAGTAAAAGAAGCCATATATAAAAGGCCACATATTGTATGATTCCATTTATACAGAAGCTTCAGGAGAGGTGTACCTGTGGACAGAAAACAAATCACTGGTTGCCTGAATCAGGGGAAAGATACTGGGACTGAGGAAAAACAAGCAAGAGGAATCTCTTTGGACTGATGAAAATGTTCTATAACAAGATTTGATGATAGTTGCAGAACTCTGTAAATTAACTTAAATCTGTTTACTCATTTATTAGCAGACCACTAACCCAACTGATGTGAAAAAACACAGTCTTCACAAAATTAGTTCAGGATAGTAACAGCAACAGTTCCTGAAAGAAATGGAAAATTCACCTCCACAGTTGCCAAATTATTTAAAATGTCCTGTTTTCAACAAAAATTTATGAGGCATGCAAAGAAATAAATATGACCCATAAACAGGAAATAAAGCACTCAACAGAAACTTTCCCTGACAAAGTTGATATTGGACTTACTTTTTTTTTGGTTCCAGGGATCGATCTCAGGACCTTGTGCTTTTGAGGCAGGCGGTGGAACCACTGAGCTAAATCCCCGGTCCACTAACCACTTTTAAAATCAGCTAACTTAAATATGTTCAGAGGAAAGTCTAAAGAACTAAAGAAAAGTATGAACACAATCTTCAAATAATGATATCAATAAAGAGAAATTATTATAAGAGAACTAAATAGAAAAGGACACTATTAAGAAAGCAAAATGATAATTCACAGAATGGGAGAAAATATTTACAAAATCATGTACATGATAAACAACTAGTATCTAAATTACATAAAATACAACTCAACAATACAAAACCAAAAAACCACAAATTTTTAAATGGGCAATAGAGTTGAGAAATTTCTACAAAGATGTAAAATATACATTTGTTTATTCTAGATATTTCATTAAATAGAATAATATGTGGTCTTTTATGTTTGACTTCTTTCATTTAACATGTCTTCAAGGTTCATTCATGTTCTACCCTGTGTCAGTATTTTGTTCTTTTTTATGGCCTGATAATACTCCATTAAATGGATGTACCTTATTTTTTTTTTTTTTTGGTACCGGCGATCGAACTCAGGTCCTTGTGCTTTTGAGGCAGGTGGCGGAACCACTGAGCTAAATCTCTGGCGCTGCATGTCATTTTTTTATCCATTCATCCGCTGATATATATTTGAGTTGTTTCCATTTTTTGCCTATTACCAATAATGCTTCTAGAAATGATGTGTGAACATGTTTTCAGTTCTTTTGAATCTATATGTAGGAGTGGAATCATTGGGTTATATGGTAAGTCTACATTTCACTTTTTTATTTTATTGGTACATTTTAGGTATACAATATAATGACATCATTGGAATATTTCACTTTTTTTTTACATTTCACTTTTTGAGGAAATTCGAAAGTGTTTTCCATAGCAGTTATACCATTTTATGTTATCACCAGCATTGTATAAGTATTCCAGTTATTTCCAAATTATTGAAATACTTTGTGCATTTGTAAATTGGTTTATCTTTTTATTGCTGAGTTGTTAAGAGTTCTCTGTATATTCTAGATTCTAAATGTCTATCAGATATATAATTTGCAAATATTTTCTCCCATTCTATGGATTCTTTTCATTTTCCAATGGTGCCTTTTGATGCACAAAAATTTTTCATTTTGGTGGGAGCAGCCCAGGCGGGCAGACTCTTCTGACCACTGCGTACTGGGGAGAGGGGCTGTCTGCAGTAGCAGCCAGGACCGAAGCGTGTCAGCAGCTATGGCCAAAGACATCCTGGGTGAAGCCAGGATGCACTTTGATGAGCTGAATAAGCTGCGGGTGTTGGATCCAGAGGTTACTCAGCCGACCACAGAGCTCAAGGAAGAGTGACAGGACTTTGTGGACAAAATTGGCCAGTTTCAGAAAATAGTCGGTGGTCCAACTGAGCTTGTTGACCAACTTGCAAAAGAAGCAGAAAATGAGGAGACAAAGACCACTGGTGCTCGGAACTTGCTCAAATCTATAGCAAAGCAGAGAGAAGCCCAACAACAGCAACTTCAAGCACTAATAGCAGAAAAGAAAATGCAGCTAGAAAGGCATCAAGTTGAATATGAAGCTTTGCATAAAGTAGAAGCAGAACAAAAGGAATTTCTTGACCAATTTATTTTTCAGAAATGAACTGAAAATTTCATTTTCATAGCAGGAAGGCAAAAAAAAAAAAAAGCCACCCAAAACCAAAAAATCAAAAAATCCCTGTGACTTGACCGATGTCCTGAGTAGTCATGAAACAGTGTGTAAGGAGTGAGCCCCCGACGGCAGTAATGCAAGTCTGGGGAGCTGGTATTAAACATCAGCGCACAGCCAGTGGCCACACAGGGCAGGTCCTCATCTCTTAGTACGAACTAAGTAGTGTGTAAACTTTGCTCTTTTTTCCAGGCAGGTGCAGTGCCACTGAGCTAAATCCCCGGCCCAGCTTTGCTCCTTTTTGTAAATTCACAATACTTTGGAAGGAAAAGCAACAAATTACTGTTTTCAAAAAAATTTTTTCATTTTGATTAAGCCCAGTTTTCCTATTCTTTCTTTGATTACCTTTGCTCTTGGGTGTCATATCTAAAGAAACACTGCCTAGTGTGTGGTCATGGAGTCTTTTACCTATGTTTTCTTCTAAGAGTTTTATAGGTTTAGCGCTTACATCTAGGTCTTTCAGCCATTTTGAGTTAATATTTGTAGATAGTGTGAACTATAAAATTTGAATTCAAATAATACTATCAAATTTTGAATTCAAACAAAGAGTTTGATTTTTCTTTACTTTGTAGCTGAACACTCTCCAGGACAACATAAAACTCCATATTTCAATCTGATTTAAAATCCCTCTGTTCTGTATAGCCCTATATGCTTGAATTTAAATACTCTGAAAGAATAGAGTTCAAGAAGCCTAATAATCCTTTCTTTAGTCACGTAATAAATTTTGTGCGTTCCTTCTCCTGTTTAAAAAAAAATTAAAAAAAAAAAAAAAAAAAGGAGCAGGCCTATAATCCTAGCATTCTGGGAAACTGGGGCAGGAGGATCACAAATTTAAGCTCAACCAGGGCAATTTAATGACTTAGTTAGACCCTGCCTCAAAAAATAAAAAGAGCTGAGAATATGTCAGTGTTAATGCCCTGGGTTCAATCTCCAATACAAAAACAAAACACAAAAACAAGAAAACAAAACCAAACACCAAAAAGGAAGAGAGTTCAAACCTCTGCAAGTTCCAACAGTCTCAGAGTCTGAATTCTAAACCAAATAAAGCTTCAATTTAACCAATTTTCCTACTTGGTGTTATATAATAAGTGCTCATGTTAATTTGAAAAAATAAGCCAGTAGCTTGCAAAAAATAGACTGAGTAATAATGTGGAAGGTAGGCTGCAAAACTGTGAATGTCCCATTTGCCCTAAAAACTAATGGGCAAAAATTCCAGTTCTTAACCAGATATGGAATGTAAGAAACAGCTGTTGCCTGAGATTTAGCTCAGTGGTTCCACCGCCTTCCTTGCAAGTGCGAGTTCCGAGTTTGATCCCCGGCAGCAAAAAAAGAGAAAGAAATAGTTGTTAAAGACATTTTTAAACTAATTAGTTAAAACTTAATATAAATTAGGATGCAATGTTTATTCTGAGCTTATATAGGAAATTATCCTTTTCAAAAGAGATAAATCGGGAAGTATTCTACAGTAAAATTCAGGTTGCCTCTAATGTACTCTAAATTACTTCAGGAAACAAAATAGATGAAACATATATAGCAAAATATTAATAGCTGTTAAATATTTCAAAAATAATCCTTTGTTTAAAAGAATAGGAATTCAAAATCCAAAAGGAGAATTCAGAAAACATGTAAAAGTGGCCTAAATTTACAAAAATAGGGCTTTGTGGAGTAGGGTGTTAGGGTGAGGTTGGGAAAGCTCAGCAATCCTTAGGTATTAGACAGAATTACTCATAATTCATAAAATTTACTGAAAGTTGGATAAAATTTAACAAGCTCTATAAGAGTAGAAATGAAGACTTTTGCTGAAGGGTGCAACACCAGAACCCAGGGAAATCAGTGTTTATAATTGGTAAATGCCCAAAGCATACTTGTTAAATAAACAAATGAGGTAGTAAATATTTTTCCTCCATAAATGACCAGATGTTTGCATTTACACTGATTGCTTCCAAAATTCTGTTATTGCTTTGGTGCTAGCAATTTAACCCAGGGCTTCACATATGCTAAGCTCTACCACTGAGCTCCCTACCTGCCCTCCCTCAAAATGATTATGAAGAGGCTTACAACAGTCAGCTCAAAATCATATCAAAACCACTTGAATGAGTCAGCTGTATTACTTATATTCCTATAATGAGCTAGTTACTGCAACTAAATATTAAATTTTATTTGAGGCAATATGTGGCCGGGCATGGTGGCACACACCTGCAATCCCAGTACTCCAGAAGGCTAAGGAAGCAGGATCAAAAGTTCGAGTCCTACCTAGAGTGACTTGGCAAGACCCTATCTCAAAATAAAAAATAACGAGGACCGGGGATTTAGCTCAGTGGTTTCACTCCCTGCTGCGCAAGTGCAAGGACCTGAGTTTGATCCCCAGTACCAAAAAATAAATAAATAAATAAATAAATAAATAATAACGAAAAAGCCAGGGATAGTTCAGTGGGAAGGTCCTGGTTTTAACAACAAAAAAAGTTTTCATTATTAAATAAAAAGGTAAACAAATACTTCTGGAGATAAAAAGCTTTTTCCGATTCTAAACTATTTGAATTCATGAATTATTATTAAAAGGTGTAATGTGATATCATGGTATACAATATCTCAGATATTTTAATTATATAAAATATCAATCATTTGAAATTTCAAATTTTTTTTTTTGGTACCAGGGATTGAACTCAGGTCCTTGTGCTTGCAGGGCAGGTGGCAGCACCACTGAGCTAAATCCCTGGCTCAGGCAATTTGTATAAAATAATATGTAAATAATTGCTTGTTGGACCTGGAACACTGGAAATGTGAAACCACTGAGCTAAATCCCTGGCCCCAAAATTTCAATTTTTGTCAACATGATGATAACCTTAAATCAAGGCCTAAACTCAGACATCCAGATAACAGGTATAATAATAACTATTTTCATGAGTCATTCCTTCACGGCTGACTTAACTGTCAAATGTAATTAGTTTTCAATGTTCTGTGAGGTGAAGGACATGGATAAATTTACTCTAAGTAAAATTAATAGAAAAAGAGAGTATGGATGTTTGTGTGGGCCTCCTTCTCTGCTATCCCCACCTCAGATACTCTGCCACACTTGGTGGTGAGAACTACTTTTGTTTTTCCTTTTGTTTCTGAGATTCAGCCAACCATCTTGCTTCGATCATAGCATCTAAGACAGATTCCCAAATATGTGTATCAGTTCTGATAACTTTCTAAAGCCATGAGGTAATTGGTAAACCACAATTTTTTCTTAGAAACTCTCACTGTCCCTTAAAATATATCAATACATCTACAAGCACGTTCCCTTTCTGAAATCAGCTACTACCAATGGCACCATTATTCTGCTCTCAAAAGTTTTGTAATCTTTATCTTTTGTTTTCATCCCTTCTTATAACAAATTAGTTCCCAATTCCTATTGTTTCCTTTGAAATTTTCCCATCCACTCCTCATCATCCTTCCTCTCCCTCCCATTAGAGTAGTCTAAGCCTTCACCCTTCACATCTGAATGTCACAACAGCACATCATTTGATCTTTCTGCCTCTACCCATTCTTATCTTCTACTCTTGCCAGAGTAAGCTTAGATTTTGCTTTTATCCTGTCACAAAAATGCTCAGAAACCTCCAAGGGTTTCCCAGTGTCCTCAGGAAAAAGTCCACACCTTTGGTGGGTGGTCAAGGATTGATTTCAAGACTCTGTAAAACTTCTCCCTCCCCAGAGTACCTGTGCAATGTTAGTAGCTCCCTCCCTGTTCCTGGTGTCCTGGTAACCAGTCTTATCGCCACCCTCTGAAGCCCCATCTCAGGTTCACTTCTACTCTCACAGTGGTACACCACCTGAATGTATTTCCTCTTCTATTCTAATAAAATCCTACCTATAATTCAAATCCTACCTACTTTAGTTTTACCTCATTTCCAAAGGCTGACTCTGTTTGGTCCATACTGATGTCTCTCTTCATCCAAGAAACATTTTTGGACTGTGGTATAGACAAGATACTATAGAGATACAATGATAACACAACTATTCCTGATTCCCTGCCAGCACAGGGAATGTGTTGAGAGCACTTACAATGTGCCTGAACAAGTACTAAACTCATTATACCTACTACTTAATTTGATCTTTTAAAAAATCTGTGCGAGCCGAGGATTTAGCTCAGTGGTTCTGGCGCCGGCCTTGCAAGCGAAAGGTCCCGAGTTTGATCCCCGGTACCAAAAAAAAAAAAATTGTTATAAAAAATCTGTGAGATATGACTGTCGTTTTGCAGATGAGGTTAGATAACTTTCCCAAGGCTACAGAGTCATGGGGCCATGATCTCTGGTTACACAAGTTGTTTGAGTTTTCATAGATTACTTAGTGGTAAAAACACAAGATAGTCTGATTCCAGAGACTGATAAATGCTCTTCAGTATCACATTATATCACCTTTCCCTTCCCTAGGAAGAAAATTACAACCTGAATTCCAGCTATCACAACCAATTTTCATTTCAACCATTTCCAAAGCCACAAAATGAGATACACTATTGGCAAGTCAGAAAATTAGAAACTAAGATATCTGATCTGAAATATGCTCGAATACATGGTTGTTGTACTTGAATCACTTAAACTATTTTTGAAGTATTTACTCTTCTTTCTTGAATATATACTTTACTGTTATTTCCTGAACATATATGTAATTTCCAGAAAGTACAGCCATGTACAGAACAAATAAAGCTCCACAGAAAAAACTGCTGAGTTAAACTAGACAATGTTAAAATCAACACCAAAAATCAGAAGAGTAGATCTTTTCTTTTTTTTCCACAGTTTAAATGGCAAGGCCCTACATCTCTTGGTCACTTTGTGTTCACTCTCTTCCCTAAAGCCATCTATACTGACTTGCTATTTGCCTGGGTTCATCTCTAGTTCCTTCAAACCCTCCATTAACCTATGATCCTTGACATTCAATATTATCATATACTTTCGCAATTAAAGGTGCCCCAGGTGACTGTTGATCCTTCTAAACCAAACCATGGATACTACCTTTTGCACCCCAATCTGTCCCACAGTTACAATTATTATGTACTCAGTAAATATTTTTTATTTCTCCAACAAAATTGTCAGGTAGTGATACACCCTATACCTATTTTCAAGACATCCCTTAGTGCTGTAGGGAAAAATTATTATAATACCTTCATAAAAATAAGATAATGTTTAAATGACACTCATGATTCATATTCATCCTGCAGTGTGGCTTACTATAAAGCACTTACGTTATTACTGTGAAGATATTCAATTGCTTGAAGGATCTGGAAGAGGTATTTTCTAAGTCGTTTACTCTCTACTCCATGACAATAGTGTTGTAACTCATCTAATACTGTGTGGTCAATAAATTCAAATACCAAATGAATTTTCTTTTTCTGTTTAAAAACTTCAATGAGAGTGACCAGGTTTTCATGATGAAATTGCTATTAAGAGAAGAAATAGATTTCAATAAATTATTTCAAACATAATTTGTACCTAACATCTATATAATTTTGAACAGAAATATTCTGCGTTTCTTTTCCTCCACATATTTCAACAAAACTCAACTGATTTACTTCCTATTTTAAGAATATTTTTAGCCATCTCATGATCAATACTTACAGAAGAAACAGATGTATTGCTTTACCTCAAATTGACATTTGATTGTTTATCTAAATTAAGAGGCGATAAACTATACTATAACTTGGTATACTGAGAAATACCTTGAACTATTTTAACTTAGTTTGTGGTTAAATTTAACATCTGAAATTTAAGCGGTCCTAATGTTTTCTGGTTAGGTTGGTTTTTTGTTTTCATGCTGGGGATTGAATCCAGGGCCTTGCACATGCTAAGCATACTTTATCACTGAGCTATGCTTCCAGCCCAAGAGGTGAGGAGGTTTTCAAATGAGCGTGGCCTTCAACACCATTAAGTACATGACCTGAATTTACATAAATTAATTATTCTTTAATTTTGGCCATAAATTCTAGGGAGTAAACCTTAAGTTCTAGAGGATTTTATAAACTTGTTCAGACTATATCAAAAGAATATTTAAAAATCTAAAAAATCCTCAGGTATACGAAATGACAATCTATAAAACAGGAATTTTACGTAAATATGCAATTATTTGTGATTTTTGTTCATTGTCTTACTATTCTATCAAAACACTTTTATACTGTTGCCATTGTTAAAATAATTTTAAAATGTCAAAAATGGCCATGTATCTTGTTAGAAACCAAAAGAGGCTTAGTGTTCTATGTTGTTTATTCTATTTTTTTAACACATTTTTAACACATTCAATTCTGAAATATTTAACAATTTGTTTTCAAATAATCGATAACATTTATTTGGCTAAGAATTAAGGGGTATATTTTCAGTATTGGATTGATTAAAAATACATACTTTTATAAAATTCATCTTTATTCCAATGGCATAATGTCAATTTTTCTTCCCCTGTAACTAGAAACTAAAATCCCTGAATCATGACTCACAGGAAAACATGCCAAAATATAATGCCAGATTCCTTTCCTATTTTTGCTTCCAATTTCCCTGGTTGACAAGATGCCAGAATGCTGCAGCAGCAAAATATAGGCAGCAGTGAAAAGAACTGAGTGCTTTTGGAGACTACACTATTAATCCCTCAACTAAGGAAAATTCCTGGCTTCCTGTCTAGTTTTTATTTTAAAGGGAGGCTAAAGCTGTGAAAGGTTAATGTGAGCTAATAAGCATCATGGAAGACTCACCCAGGGTTAAGGAATAAAGTTGTTTGGTTTGGTTTGGTTTGGTTTTTCAGATAAACCATGAAAACCCTAGATATGCTCTGTTGCTCCTTTTTCATCTTTCTGCATTACTAGACAACTTTTCTACAGTCTCTTGTGATTTATTTAATGAAATTATCTGCAATTAATTTAATGAAATTCTAACAGATAAAGACTTAGTTCAAACTAAGTAATTTTGGCAATATTTTTGTTTTGTTTTGTTTTGTTTTTGGTACCGGGGATTGAACTCTGGTCCTTGAGCTTGCGGGGCAGGCGGAAGAACCACTGAGCTAAATCCCTGGCCCTGGCAATAGTTTTGGACTGAAAATTTAACCCAAGAAATCTCTTAGTGGAATTACATTGAATTAAAAGTCCTATAAAAAGCCAATAAGAGTAGTTAAGGTGTCTCAGAACAATTTGCATAATAGCTTTAACAGTTAAGACACATCTTCAAGTTCATCTCTCTCTGTTCTTGCCACATACATATTGGTTATTATACAAAATGATTAAGGAGACAAATAATCAGCTTAAGTGCAACAAGTTAATGAAAGAGTAAGAGATATAGCATGGGAAAGGGTCTCCTAATCAGATTACACAGTACACAACTGCCTTAAAGTTATTATGCTTTAGGTCATCAGAAGTGGGACTGGTACCTCTCGAAAAATCATAATACATCTCTACTGACTTCAACTTCCCTTCATTATTTAGAAATAGAGCAGATCAAACTAGCCACAGATGCCTAATACTAGTACACTAATTTTTTATTTAGAAAACAAAATGATCTATCATATACATTTACAAAGAATGACTTTTGTGTAACATTAAGATAAGCAAGAAGTGCACCTGCTTTCATCACATATAAAACACTTAAGACTACACTGTCAAGATCATAAACCTTAAAGCATCTAGATTCCAATAAATAGAATACATATTTATTTCATTCACTAGTTTTGTATCACCAAAAAACATTAATGCTGTCCTCCACATTCCTCAGTTCTTTTCCCTAAACTGACCTGTCATACCTACAATGATTTCATCTTCTGCCTTCATTTCTTCTCTTGTTCCCTATTTACAAAAGCTTAGTGGCATCTTTACTTAAATGTACTCTTGTAACCTCAAATCAGCATTTCCAAAATAGTTCCCAATTGATGTCTTTTCTGAGTCTTTCAAATTTTCATCAGTTGGAGAAACCACTAAATTTCAAAAATATGACTCTTGCCTTTCTACACTCTTTGAATGTCTTCTTTCACAATAAATTTGTTCTTTTTTTTTTTTTTTGGTACCGGGGATCAAACTTGGGTCCTTGCACTTGCACAGCAGGTGGTGAAACCACTGAGCTAAATCCCCCGGCCCAATTTGTTCTACTTTTGCTTCCATTCACATTGCTACATTCTAGAAAGGGCTCTCGTGACATTTACTAGTGTTCCAGGATTAAACTCCTGACAGACTTTTCTATTTTTACTCTCTCGGCTCTCTATTGAACATAATGCTAGATGTTTTATAGTTTTACACTGAATTCAAAACCTTCACTTTCACCTCTCACAAAATCAAATTTTGACTCAGCCTAGAAGACAAGACTTTAAAACCTACTTCCAATTTACTGCACTAATCTCACCTCTTTCCAATTTTGCATTGGAAACTCTACAGGCAAAAGTCTCTTCTCTTTTTCTGTTCTGCTTTTGATCTTTGTCCTTCTGTCCTGTGTTAGACATTCTGAGCTCATGTTCTCTTAAACTGCCACTTGGTAGTTCCTCTAACTTCCCTAAATTCCTTACAGCTGAAGTCGTGTCCTGTATCGTCAGGAAACCTTCCCTGTCCAACAGGACTGTCAATCACTTGGCATTTATTACGCCCCGTAACAGTACACCTCATCATTCTCCTACTGGAAGCACCTCAGTTTCCCCTGTATGTAAAATGGACACATTAGCCCCCAGGATTTATAAGATGATGCAAGTACATAACAAGGTAGAAGACCTCCCAAATTTAAAGACCCAATCTGAAAATGGGCATCTGAAATGAACAGACACTTCTCAGATAAAGAAGTAGAAATAGCAAATAAATACATGAAAAAATGTTCAACATCACTGGTCATTCGAGAGATCCAAATGAAAACAACACTGAGATTTCACCTCACTCCAGAAAGAATGGCTGCTATCATGAAATCCAACAATAACAAATGCTGGCAGGGCTGTGGGGAAAGAGGAACCCTGCTCCACTGCTGGTGGGAGTGTAGACTGGTGCAACCACTGTGGAAATCAGTATGGAGATACCTCACAGAACAAGGACTGGAAGTCCCATTTGACCCCGCTATTCCACTGCTGGGGATCGTCCCCAAAGAATTAAAAGAATCATACCACAGTGATATATGTGCACCCATGTTCATAGCAGAGCAGTTTGTAATAGCTAAAACTTGGAAACAGCCCAAATGCCCATCAACTGGAGACTGGATAAAGAAAATGTGGTTTTTTAATAAAATGGAGTACTACTGAGCCATAAAAAATGAGAAATTAGAGTCATTTATAGCTCAGTGGATGCACATTGAGGCGATACTCTTAAGTGAAATAAATAGGACACACATGTATAAATACCGAATAGTTTCTCTGGTGTGAGAAACTGAAAGTGTAAATAAGGACTAAATGTATGATAGGTAATGGGAAATAGGAAGAAAAGGGACAAAGGGGAAGGAAGTGGGAGGGCTAGGGGAAAGGATAGAAGGGAATGGGATTAATATGAGAAAATGGAAAAATAGGAACAAAATCTTTGTAAATAGGGAGGAATGGAGAGGTTGAAGGGAGGGCTGGGCAAGGGTGAAAAATAAGAACAGAGAGACTATGGAAAGGTGCAAATTTCCAATGATGAATGTCATTATATTGTATACCTAACATGTAACAATGATTAGAATGAATAATCGATAATGCAAAATAGGAAGAAAAGGTCCAAAGGGGTAGGGGTAGTGGGAGGGGCAGGGGAAAGGAAAGAAGGGAAAGGAAAACTGATGAGAAATGGAAAAAATGGAAATAAAGTCTTTGTAAATAGGGAAGGGTGGAGGAGGTGAAGGGAGGGCTAGGAATGGGGAAAAACAAGAACTAAGATGCATTATGTAAAGGTACAATTCCCAATGAGAAATGTAATTGTGTTGTATACCTAAAATGTACCAATAAAAGAATTTAACAACAACAAAAAAAAACAAGGTAGAAATATCCTGGAATGTTCAGCTAAGAGTAGCTATATTTGTATTGTCATCTACTATACAGGGTTGCAGAATATCAGTCACTCAAGAACCCTTCAAGCTGGGCATAATGACATATACCCTCCTGTTTCTGTGACTAAATTATAAAAATCTTTAAAAAACATAAATAAATTATAAAAATCTTTAAAGACCCATTTTTATCCTCCTTGTGGTCTCAGCACAATGCTTTGCACAAAGCATACATTTTTATTAAGCATTATACTTGGATATTTAGGACTAAACAATAGTAGCATGATTTTGTTACATATTTTGTATCAGTGTAAAATTACAAAATATAGACAATAAGGATTTTTCTATTATATGTCTTAAGATAGGTGTTGAATGACATATTCTTTAATGCACTTTTTATTCCATACTAATTTTTCTTTTAATTGACAGAGCAAGTAAGGCAAAAGAAGCCAACCTTTAGAAACATTATTTCTCTCGTTGCAATTTTGTTGACAGATTTTTCCGGCTTCTCATAGAATATCTTAATGGCCACTATCTGCCCCATATCCTTACGTTTACATTTCATGACTGTACCATAACTTCCCTCTCCCACTTTTCCAAGAGTTTCATACATCTCCATTTCCAAGCCTGGCTTCTACTTCTTCATAGAAACAGAGAAAGAAAATGGAAAAAGTTAAACATTTACACTTATTTTTTCAAGCTGTATATAACGCAAAGACCCAACCAATCCCTACTTTCAAATTCTGAGAGAGACAGAGAGAGAGACAGACAGACAGAGAGACAGACAGAGAGACGGAGAGAGGGAAAAACAGAGAGACAGAGAGACAGAGAGAAAGACAGAGAGACAGAGACAGAGAGACAGAGAGACAGAGAGACAGAGAGACAGAGAGACAGAGAGACAGAGAGAGACAGAGAGACAGAGAGAGACAGAGAGACGGGGGGGGGAAGGGGAGAGAGAGGATCTTTTCCACAGAGCCACGTCTTTGGGAACTGCCATGGGGGGTGTAAGTCGTCTGGAGGCGGAGGCTCCAACCTCGCCAGTGTAGGAAACCTCCTGCCATGTCGGTCACTCCCATCAACACTGAGATGCCCTCACTATATATATGTCACTATCACGCGTGGGGCCCCCACACTTCCTTCCCATCACGCTCGGGTCAAATCAACAAGTCCCCACACGACTTATCACACCACCTAGCAGGCCCCGGGAGCTAGGAAACCCTCAGTCCCACCCTCTCCTCAACGGGCAAAGTCTGAGAATTCCGGACCGGCGTTGCGCCCCTCGCCTCGCCTCGCCTCGCCTCGCCGCCTCAGCCCATTCTGTGTTCCCGCTGGCCTGGAGCCGCGCGGTCGCAGCGAGACCACGCAACACCACCCTCACTGCTCCGTCAGCCACCGGCTACCATAGCAACGGTGGAGCGGCGGGGCTGCGGGGCTGCGCTCGGGACCTAGTACGCAAGACCGGATATCAAGACCAGGTGCCAAGACCGGATATCAGCGGGGTCCCGACCCGGAAGGGAAAGTGAGAAGAACTGGAAGTTACTGCAGGTGGGCGCTGAATGGGGTCGAGCTTGGGAGTGGGGGAGGAATACGGATGGCTGTCACAATTGAGGAACCTCAAAGGTTGATTTTGAGCCAGAAAGGGATTGGGTCCCCACCTTTTGACTGCACTGTGACGGCAAATCTTCTAAAGAAGGGAAACTGGGGCAGAGGTGCCCCACTTGTGTCATGGATTTGTCCTGAACGGAGGATATCAGCTGCGTATGCTGAGCTCTAGAAGGATGGCTGTTGTCACTAACCAGACAACTCGTAAAACGAGACTTCTAAGGAAATCTTGTGTGATTAGTTTTTCAAGTTGCTAAGTTACCTTCATATCCCATAGACCTCAGTTTGAACTTAACAGTCGACATGCATCCTTAAAACTGGGATAAGATGGTTCTTTAATCAAAAATCTTTCTTGGAGTGTAGCTCAGCGGTAGATTGTGTAGTTAGGCTGCGCCGAGACGCGGGGTTCATCTCCAGCACCACGAACAAAAAAAAATCAAACCTTTTAAAAATATCTGCTCTATGCTGTCTTAAAAATTTTCAACTCCTAGTAACCCTTTTAAAAAGTTCTCTCAATACATGCCAAAATGCTTAGACCTCTCTTCTTAGGAAAGCAGATGACTCAGAGGGTTGTGCCACATACATGGTGATGCATAAGGGCACAGAGGAGAAGGAAGGACTACTACCTAAACTTTTAAAACGTAGAGGGATCGGCTGGAATTACAGCCTCCAGTGTAAAACAAGGTTATCGCTAGCGCAAGTGCCCAGGTAGTGCAATCTTTACTGGGACTTTACTTCTTTTCTGTGAAGTGTTAAATGTAAAAAGCCACCCATAGCTATGCTAGTCCTAAATAAGGAGGGGTATTATTCAATAACTTCTAGTTCAGTGGGCCCCACCCCAGCTCATAAATGAAAATCACACCTGGAGAACTCACTTTTAAGTCCCACTTCCAGAAGTCTTGATTTAATTGGTATAGTGAAGCAATTGGATTTTGTTTGTGGTACTGGGATTGAACCCCAGGACCTTGTACCACAAGTGTGTTATTACAAATAAGTATTTTTATAAAACTTCCCAAGTATTTCTACCGTCCTGCTAGAATGAGAGGAGCATGACCGGAAGGAGGGTTAGTCACGGCTTCTATTATCCAAAATATTCAAAATTGTTCTTCCCTTTGAAAAATTACTCAACTGAACAGGGAACATATTTCTCTGCAGAACTTACTGGTGGAAAAGTTTTCCCCTGTTCCCTCAACGTGTCCGGGCTTCCTGGACACTTCCTCTCAAGCATTTCAGGAATTTTCTTTGTTCTCAGTTTTATTACTTCTAACTCCCCGCTAAATGTAAATGAGATGTGACTCTGTGCGCTGAGCTTGCTGTCTGTAATGTCTGATAACCGGGGAATTTGCTGGGCCCAGATGACTTGTGCTCTGTGTAACCAATGCAAAGTGCTCAACTCTTGCCAGCTCGCCCCCTCCCAAGAGTATAACCTGCCCTGCTCAGCCCCAAAGCTGGTCAGTCTCTGTGGAGAAGTCCCAGACTGGCCTGCTGGTGTTAAAAATAAAACTGTACACTTTGCCTCCAAAACTGGGTGCGTCTTCCATTCTCCTGGACTACCTGTATGTATGTTCCAGCTGGCACTTTGCCGTTACACAACCATATCATAAAATAACTTCTATCTACAAAAAGAATGTCATAGTAATAGTTATAGTGGACTAGGACATGTTGTTATGCATATTTATTATTTGTTGTGGGTTAAACATTTGCAACAAACCAAGCATGAACCAGGGTGAGTCCCTGCCTTCACTGAGCGCACAATGTAGAGATACAAAATTACTACAGTATACAATTATAGCTTTTAAGACTATTCTTTTCTTTTCTTTTTTGTACCAGGGATCAAACTCGGGACCTTGCGCTTTCGAGGCAGGCGGCAGAACCTCTGAGCTAAATCCCCGGCCCAAGACTATTCTTTTCATAAATAGGTTCTGGCAGGCCTGGTGACCAGGACAGCATGTGATTCTTTTTTTTTTTGGTATGGGGGATCGAACTTGGGACCTTGTGCTTGCGAGGCAGGTGCCGGAACCACTGAGCTAAATCCCAGCCCCAGCATGTGATTCTTTTTTTTTTGGTACCAGGGATGGAACTTGGGTCCTTGCGCTTGCGAGGCAGGCGATGAAACCACTGGGCTAAATCCCCGGCCCCCAGCATGTGAGTCTTAATACACTGCTCCCAGGCTTTATGAAACACATTCGCAGAATTTGTCAAAAATATTATTTCAGGCCTGGGGATTTAGCTCAGTGATTTTGCCGCCTGCTGCACAAGCGCAAGGACCTGAGTTCAATCCCCAGTTCTAAAAAAAAAAAATATATATATATATATATATATGATTTAATTTTGGGACGTCACAAGCGTATCAGTTTACATAACAGCTATAAATTGCTAGATAAACAACATGACAGGTTTTTAAGAAATAGTTTATCCAGCCAGGTATGATGACATAATTCCAGCAGTTTGGGAGGCTGAGCCAGGAGGATCATTAAGTTCAAACCCAGCTTGGGCATTATAATGAGACCATGTCTCAAAACTTTTTTAAAAAGGGGCACTGGGGCTAGGGGTGTAGCTCTGTGTGAAGGCAAATAGCTGCGGATGCACCTTAGTGCAAAGGTCCTGAGTTCGATCTTTAATACTGCTAATAAATAAATAAAAAAGAATGGAAGGAAAACAATAGGAGCGAAATTTTGTAAAGAGGGGAAGAAGGACTGAAAGGAAGGGAGGGGAAGGGAATGGGGGAAAAGAAGATATATACAGTACAAATTTCCTATGATGAATGTGATCATTATGTATGTCAAAAGTGTACCAATACAAGCACCCAATGATAAATGTAAATGTAGTGTTTACCTAAAATGTACCAATAAAAGAATTTAAGGAAAAATTTTTTTAAAGTGTACCATTAAAATTTTTTAAAAAGAAAAGAAAGTTTCCTTTAGCTTTTCACTACATGTAACCCTTGTGTCTTTCTCTTTAGCTATGGGAGAGTAGCACTGCTATGGCAGGAAGCCAAAAAAGTAAAGGTAAGAACATTCTGCTTTTAGAGAATTACAGTGTGAATGCAGAGCAAGACCTAAGAGCTGGCTAACTCAGCCACCAAAATTACCGCAAGCAAGAGAGATACTCAGAGTCTGAAGATCAGGAAAGTAGAAAAATTTAATCCTTTGGAGTCCATGCTACTATGGGCAACCCTGGGGCAATATTGAGGTCCTCATTCCACCCTTCCTTTCCCTGGTGAACTGAAGAATTCCCTAAATGCATAGGAAAGAAAGTGCCCAGAGTCCTCCTGACCAACAAAGACCTGAAGATGGGAGGCTGCAGAGGGAGAGAACTGAGTAAATAGAGGAAGAGTATGGGAGGGATCAGCATTTCTGAGGAGAAAGCAGCAGGGAGGGCACCTCGGGTTCTCTGCACTTTTTACTGCTAAGTAGAAAACCTCAAATAACTTATCTCAGGCTAGATGTTTAAGGTCTGCCCAGTCTGCAGGATCTCTTCCCCCAGATCTGAATGATTTTGGTAGGTTTCTGTGACAACCAGCCACCCAATGATACCCACTGAAGATCGCGCCCTCACATTTCTTGACAAATAGGAGGATGCCCTATGCTAGGCAAAGCCACAGACTGACACAGATTTTCAAATGAGAGCAGACCCATAAAATAAGACTAAGTTCCATTATTCTGTGAAGTCTTCACACAATACTTACACAATCTATATATCATTGTTTTATCTTTGTAGTGTGGAAACCTCACTACAGTGTACCAAAAGATTTGGGGGCAATAAGGAAACATTTCAGGGGGTTTTACTTTGTGTAGGCCTCAGCATTCAATGCTGTAATTATTACAAGGTGTGATCCTTTCAGTTGCTCTCCCTGCCCCACATACCAGAATTGATATACCATTCAACCAACTAGAGACTTTTTGGTTCCTTTTTTTCTGTACCGGGGATCAAACTCGGGTCCTTGAGCTTGCGAGCCAGGTGGCAGAACCCCTGAGCTAAATCCCTGGCCCTGGTTCCGTTTCTTATTTTCTTGAGGCCTGGTATTGAACCTAGGACCCTCACAAGGCTGGCCTCAAACTCACAGAGATCCTCCTGCCTCAGTCTCCCAAGTGTGGGGATTACAGGTGTGAGCCACCATGCCCAGCCCTATTTAAATTTTCTCATACACTGCTGAGGCAGGAGGATCATTAAATTGCCCAGGCTAGCTTTGAATTTGTGATCTTCCTGGTTCAGACTTGCAGAGCACTAGGATTACAGGTACATGACATCACGCTGGCGTTTTGGTCCCATTTTAAGGACCAACAAAACTGTTGCTTCCACAACGACTCCTTGCATAATGTCCCTGTCCCTGGGACAAACGGTGAATAATCTCACAGGATCAAGCCACATCTTACACCTGGTCAAAACTCAGACCCAGGCGGTGCTCCCACGTGACCCCTTCCAGCAGCGTCATAGGGACACGTGGGCGTAGAGAATTCGTCCCCTCCCCCTGTGGATTGTTGACAACGCCGCCGGGGTCACGTGACCTTGCATCATCCCACCCCCCCACCCCCATTTTAAAACTCCGGTCCTGTTGCGTCCGGTCGCTGCCTCTCGGGGAACCTAAAGCGGTGACTGGGGTGGGGAGAGATAGGATAGGGTGTAGGTTCAACGTCCCTGAGTCCAGAGTCCTTCGTGAGAGCCCGGAGCGCCCAGCCGGTCGGGCCGTGCGGACCCGAAGGCTGCCCGCGGGGGGACGCTAGCACCCCCTCCCACCCCGCGCCTGCGCCGTACGGGCGGAGGGCGGAGGGATCCGGAGCGGAGACGTCACTGCGGGTTGTTTGTGCAGTTTCGGAGGCGGCGGCAGCCTGCAGTGATTCGTCCGCGCCGGGGGGTGGGGGGCTACGCGGGATTCTTTTCTTTCACACTGACCGCGGGGCAGCTGGGGAGCATGTCCACCCCGGCGCGGAGGAGACTCATGCGGGATTTCAAGCGGTAAGGACCTTCGCTGAGACGACGGCTTCTCCCGGAGCTGCCGGGCGGGGGTCCCAGACGCCTGCCCGTTGTGACCCTAGGGGCTCGGCAGGAGCCCAGACCCAGGCTCGGCGCCCACTCCTCATCCGTGTTTGTCACTGAAGCGTAGGAATCTCGACGCTACTTCCTCTTATCTTTGCCCAGAAAAGTGAAGAGCTGCCGATCCGCTGGCCTGGGCGTCCCTGCTGCCCCCTTAGGCCGGGTGCCCGACGTCCCCAAACGCCCAGACCTCACCCTCCCGCTCCTGCACCTTATGGGCGCCCCTTCGCGGACCCCTAAGGGTGCGCTCCTGGGCCTCACCTGCTGCACCGGGCAGCTTTGTTCCGAGCCCCCCCCCCCCGCGATCACCTCCTCTCGGGAGCGGGGTTGGGTTGCTCTCCCACTCCCCGCACCCGAGCCCCGTCCTCCTGCGCTGAGGGTGGGGTCCGCTCGAGGCCGGAGGTGGTTTAGCCACCCCGAAACCCGACCCTGCCCCGCCCGCCCGCCCAGAAGGACCTTGAGACTGGGCCCGAGACCCGAGCGTGGCCGGCCGTCCTGGCTGCCAGGGCTTCTGGAACTGCTCTCTGGCCGGTGAATAAAGCCCTATCTATAGCCTCCGAGATCTGGAGAAAGGCCTTTCTCAGGCGGGCGCTAATCTGATACTCCCCGGGACTCCTTTTCTAAAACGGTTTTGTTAGGAGGTGTGGGGGTTGTAAGGAGGAAACGACTTCTCTTTCAGCTTACCTTTTATCCAATACTTTCAGGTACAGAAGCAAAACTATTGAGAAATTTAGCTTTACGGTGTTTTTTTATGTTTTTCTTAAGTTTTTTGTTGTTGTTGTTGTTCCTGGGGAGACCTACCCTGATTGAGACAAATATGTAATACAAAAACTTAGATTTGCCGCTCAGGAAGTAACCTCTCACCTTCGCCATCAGAAGGCCGTGAGGCATTTGGAGGCCATCTTTTGGGCCTTGGCCAGCCTACCGTTTAATTCATTTGTAGCTTCTTTTTAGCCACTTCAAGGTAGCTATCAAGCAGTGGCTCCTCCAAGGCTTCTGTTCATAGCACCTAATCTGCATGAGTTTGGCCAAAAAGTAACAGTTTTATATAGGCTAAAATGAGTGTATCCGTGTGTATGTATAATGTCGAATTTTTTTTTATCGAGGTGACAGTCTTTAAAAGATGTTCTATTTGGTGTAAAAGTCTTTCTTCTAAGTCTTGAAGACACGATTTGATTCGTTCCTACGACTGAAATTCAGATGTTTTCCAGTTTATGTCCATTATTTCTCTTTGTTCATTATTGCAATTCTCTGCTTAATTCTGAGTGAAACACATGGCGCCTTTGGTAGTTTTCCAAGGGTTTTTTAGGTTACAAGAATTTCACTGTGATGACTGTCAGAAGCTTTGTATTGACTCTCCTCCAGGTCCAAGAGGTAGATTTGGAATTAGTGCACAGCCTATAAAATAGAAACTGCTGGAAAATCCAACTGAAGCTTCTGATTACTTTAAAAAGCCACTGGTAGCTGGGCGTGGTGGCGCATGCCTGTAATCCCAGCACTTGGGAGGCTGAGGCAGGAGGATTGCCTCAAGCTCCAGGTCAGCCTGAACTACACAGCAAGACCCTGTCCCCCCCCCCCCCCAAAGCCATTGGTGTCTGAAGCAAGAAAGCTAAAGTAAAACTTCTGCCAAAAACTATTTCCTGATTGAGTTTTTAGTTATTTGGTGTGTACTGTGGGGTTTGCTGTCTCTGTCTCTCTTTGCAACATACTGCACAAGTAGCGGTGGTTAATACAAACAGTCTTTGATTTTGGGGGGGGGGGCGGTACCAGGGATCGAACTCAGGACCTTGCGCTTTCGAGGCAGGCAGCAGCACCACTGAGCTAAATCCCTGGCCCAGTACTCACAGTCTTTGCATGTTTAGAGCAGGAAAATTGATGGTGCTTTAAAAATATCTTTTTGCGGGCTGGGGATTTAGCTCAGTGGTTCTGGTGCCTGCCTCACAAGCACAAGGTCCCGAGTTTGATCCCCGGTACCAAAAAAAAATCTTTTTGCTGTTGGTGTTTTAAACTTTGTTTTGGTTCAAGAAGGCAGTCTGCATATATCAGTTCTGGAACAGATTATATCTTAGTCTTGAATCTTGAAGAGGGAGGATCTCCAAGCCCTTTGGACTTACAGGTATTTAATAAGTATATGTGCCTGGTGGATATATTCAAATCATGTGGTTCCTGCCCCCTCATACAATAACAAGGAAATGGATTTAGTGTCTCCAAGTAGATGGTATAGAGTTCATAGGTGTTGTGTTTGTCCTACCTAGAAACCTTAGTGTTCCAACTTTGGAAATTACCTCTCTGGATTTCTAGATTGCAGGAGGACCCACCGGTGGGTGTCAGCGGTGCACCATCTGAAAACAACATCATGCAGTGGAATGCAGTTATATTTGGGTGAGTTGATTTACTACATAAGAGGCGTGTGGTAATTCTTTAAGAAAAGTGAATATACTTAGGCATAGTGGTAATGCCTGGCAGGCTGAGGCAGGAGGATCACAAGTCCAGACCCAGCCTGAACAAGACCCTGCCTCAAAATTTAAAAAGGCCTGGGGATTTAGCTCAGTGGAAAGGCCTTGGCTTCAATGCCCAGTACCGCCAAAAGGAAGGAGATACGGAAGGTAAATATGTTACAGCTAGGTAGGAGGAGACTGAAGTGGAGTTCTAGATCTTGAGGACTAAAACTCAGTATAAATTAGAAAAAAACTTTTTTTCTTTGGAGGTGCTGGGGATCAAACCCAGGGGGGCCTCATACATCGAGGGCAATTGCTTTACTGCTGAGCTACATCCCTAGCCCAAAATACACATTTTAGTAAGAATCTGGGGGCTGAGTATGGTGGTGCATGCGTATAATCCCAGCACTCCAGAGGCTGAGGTAGGAGAATCGTCACAAGTTAGAGGCCAGCCTGAACTACATAGCAAGACTCTGTCTCAAAAACCAAAAAAAAAAAGAAGAATTTGGGCAGTTATATACCCTTTTATTTGCTCTGTGGAGTTATTACGTATGATTTTGTTTTGTTCTGAGATGGAGTCTTGCTATGTCACCTAGGCTGGTCTTGAACTCGTTGCTCAAGTGATCCTCACACTGTAGCCTCCCACTTCATAGCTGGGACTGCAGGTGCATGCTACCACACTCAGCTGTTTTGTTGAGATTAGGGTCTCTGTGTTGCCCAGGTTGGCCTTGAACCCTGGGGCTCAAGTGGGCCTCCTGCCTCAGCCTCCTGAACAGAAGGGATTACATTCACACATCACTGCACCCAGCATATGTGGTTTTATAATAACTTTGGATGACTGATAAAGATACTACTTGAAACTAAATGGATGGAATAATAAAGGAGAAAATAAAATTATCTTACAGAAAATGTACCACATAAGTGTTTATTCTGTAAGAGCTGTAAAAAGGCTGGGAACAAGAAATACAACTTTCACTGGGGCAAGACTGAAGGAAAATGTTTCATGGCCCAGTGTAAAATAACTGAGAAGCAGCCTTTCATTTTTGTAGTTTTTTTGTATCATTTTGCGTAGCTGTGGGAGGTGAACCCAGAGCCTGCTCAGGCTAAGCAGGCACTCTGCTGTTGAACTATAGCTCTAGCCCACATACGTGCTTTTCTTTTTTTTTTTTTTTGTACCAGGGATTGAACTCGGGTCCTTGCCCTTGCGAGGCAGGCGGCGGAACCACTGAGCTAAATCCCAGGCCCCACATACGTGCTTTTCGATTTAAATTTTTTGTCTTTTTTTTTTCTGCTTGGATTTCGTTGTTTTTCTTTTACATTGGAATAAGTGTTTTGCACTAAAATGTAAAAAGAAATACTATCATAAAGTTCTTTAGTTTGCCATGTGCCTGTAATCCCAGCACTGGGGCCAAGAAACTGCAAAGCAAGACTTTGTCTCAGAAACCAAAAACCAAATCAAAACCTACTCGAAAATGAGTGAAGTTCAGCCTCCTAGAGTAAAAGGGTTCTATTACATTCCATTCAGGCTGTTACAATGTTTCTTTGAGATCTTGAATGTACCTTACAAGTAATAAATTCATGCTGCAGCTTAAGAAAGATTAAGTTGGGATATGGAGGCAAGAAAAAGATCTGAGCATAAGAATTTGGCTTTCTTGGTGACACAAGCTAGATGTAGCCAAACAAGAGCTATTGCTCAAAGCAGCACACTTTGTTTCTTTGTTTGGTTGTCTTTGTTTTTGTTCTTTTGAGACCGGTCTTTCTGTGTAGGTGAGGCTGGCTTAAGCTCACTGTATACCCAGGCTGGCCGTGAACTTCTGCCTCAGGCTCCCGCCTGCTGGGTTACAGGTGTACACCAGCACTCCCAGCCACCAAGCAGGACATTTGGTTTGGTGTCATAATTCTCACGAAGGGTATTGATTTCCATCGTACTGTTATAAAACAAAGATTACTTTTTTCTCATAAGAGTACGCATAACTACTGGGTGTGGTGACAAACTTGTAACCCCAGCACTCGGAGGCTGAGGTAGGACAGTTACAAGTTGGAGGCTAGGCTAGATAACCTAGTGACTTTCTGAGCCCCTGTCTCAAAGAAAAGAAGAAAGGAAGGACTGGGGATGTTCCTCAGTGCAAAGGCCCTGGGTTTATTCCCTAGTGCCCCCCCCAAAACCCCAATAAATGTTACTTATATTTAGATCTGGGTGTCATGGTGCACACACACCTATAAGTCCAGCTACGTGGTAGGCTGAGGCAGGAAGATTGAAAGTTCAAGGCCAACCTGGGTAATTTAATGAGACTATCTCAAAATTTAAAAATTTTTTTAAAGGGCTGGGAATGTAGCTCAGTAGTAGAGCACTTAACCTAGCATGTGTAAGGCCCTGGGTTTGATCCCCATTACCTCAAAAGAAGGGCACATATTTACACGATGGTCAGTATTTATGAATTGAAGTGGTTCTTTTCTTTAGTTTTTGAGCCAGGGTGTCTCTGTCGTTCAGCCTGGCCTTTAACTCTCTAGGCGGCACAGGCTGACCGTGAACGGGCAGACCCTCTCAGCCTCTCAGGGCAGGGATTATAGGCATGTGCCCTCACACCCAGAGTACTGCATTCCTTCTGTACTAAAATCAGGGACAAATTGTTTGGTTTTTATAAAATTTCTGTAAAAAGAAAACACAGAAATGAAAGTTACTCTTTATGTTTCCATCTGGGAAAATCCAAGGCTAAGATGGTATTAAACATCTTTAAAATTCTACAAATCATCAGAGTGGGTATCTTCCTCCTTTTGCTCTGTTGGAGTCTATCATTGCTATTCCTTTGTTTTGGTGCCAGGGATTGAACTCAGGACCTTGCGCTTGTGAGGCAGGCACCGTACTCTGAGCTAAACCCCCAGCCCTATCATTGCCTTTTTTTTTTTTTTTGGTACTGGGGATCGAACTTGGGTCCTTTCGCTTGCGAGGCAGGCACCGGAATCACTGAGCTAAATCCCCGGCCCTGCCATTCTTGAAGAGCAAGAAAAGCAGAATAAAAAACTTATTTTAATCAGAAATCTTCTTGTTTTCAGACCAGAAGGGACACCATTTGAAGATGGTAAGTCATTCTTAACTCTGTTTTCTGTAGAATTAAAAGAGTGCTTTTAAGTGGGACTTTATAAAACCAACATACCTACTTGAGGTCATTTCTGTTGTTAATAAGCCAAGTTAAAATTAAAGCTACTGAGAACTGACAGTTTATAAGACTTCACACATTAACTTGATCACTTCTATTAGTCCCTCTTTTTCGTGTACTTTGACATTTGCCTATAGAACTAAGCTTAGGTGTCAGAGTCTGTGTTGAGAACGGTTTATGTATATGTGACCTTTATTTAGCATGATAAAGATGTCCCTGAGGTAAATAGCAAGAGAATAAATAATACTTTTGTGTTGAGCTGAAATTTTTCCTAAACATAAATAGCTGGGCCAGATGTGGTGGTGGACAGCTGTGATCCTAGCGCTTAGGAGGCTGAGCCAAGAGAATCGCTGTGAGTTCAAGGCCAGTCTGGGCTACATAGTCAGTTCAAGGCAGGCTGAACTACAACAACAACAAAAAATAAGTGGCTGCCAGTAGCTTTACATACTATCATTTTGCATAACCTTTTATATCTCAGTTTGTGTATTTTCACCAGGAGCCAGTAAAAAGTAGTTCTGATATACATTTATAATTGAGTTTGTCACATTAATTTCAACCAAGTGCTTTCCCCTAATTATACCATGGATTGAAAAAATTAAAAACAGCTTTGCTGTAATTATCAACATGACTTCAGAATTAGTCCATCAAGGATACTTGAACAGAGTCCTGACAGCAGAACTATTTGTAAGGAGATGACTGAATGCCTGCTGGGGAAACGGTTAGGATGTGATGATGTATCTGGACTCTGGAATATTATATACCCATCAAAAATAAGCCAAAGCTGGACAGAGGCCTGAGTAGACCAAAAAAGTTGCACAGTGATGAATGTTGTAGCATCCCATTTTTACTAAACATACATCTGTGCATGTGTGTTAAAGGGTTATGTACCACACTGTTATCAGTGGTTATTTCTAGGTGGTGTCAGGAATTGATGGAGACACTTAGGGCTTTAGCTTTTTTCACTACCAGCATATCATGGGTTCTCAGATGTGGTCCATAAACCCCTTAGCTCTGAGTCCCTGTCTGTGGATCCCATGTGATCTAAATTATCTTTATAGCAAGGCTTGTGTTGACATTTGCCTTGAAGGTACAGTAGCAGTAGTAGCTAACAGTGTGCCAAGCAGTTTAGCATCTTCGAACAAATCACTACAGTGGCACCAAACTGTACTAATAGTCATTGCACTCTTTGCATTTTAAAAGATGCCAGTTTTACTTTTAAATGCTTTGTTGAAATTGTTATTAAATTCTGACCTTTCGATACACTGCATATCTTTCTTTCGGTACTGGGGATCAAACTCTGGTCCTTGCGCTTGTGAGGCAGGCGGCGGAACCACTGAGCTAAATCCCCGGCCTCGCTGTGTATCTTTCTAATTATTGTATGTGATAAGGTGGGAATTACTAGTTGAGACACTTTCTTTGTATACCAAACTGTGACCCTTGTCTGGCAGAAAAGTGCTCCTATGGCTGAGCTGTAACTTGAGCTGCTGAGCTTTTCATGGAACGCTTTTTAATGAGTGACAGAATGTGGCTCAGTGCTAGTGCACTGGCTTGCCATTCGCCATGTGGGAGGCCCCTGGTGTGATCCCCTTTGCCTCCCAAGAGTGACTTACAGACAGAACTGTGGTTATCAGGTTTCAGTATGTGGCAGATGAAAAAATAAGAACCGAGAGAGTATGTAAAGGTGCAAATTTCCAATGATGAATGTCATTATATTGTATACCTAAAATGTACCAATAAAATTAATTTTGTAAAATGTGTGGCAGATGTATTGTTAGCATAGGAAAGGAAATGAAGGTATTTGTCACTGATGGTAAAATTTTCTGATGATATTCTAGGTGTTATTATCTGTTGTAATTTTTTTGGTAGTGCATAATTTGGAAGACGTGTAATTTGAATGAACTAGTATTTCTCAAATGACTAATACGTATATTACAGAAACACAATTTACGTGAATGGGCCTCAGTGGTAGTATAGTGTATGCAACATTCTCAAGGACATGTCTTTAATCTCCAGCACCACAAAACAAAAAATAGGAAGTTTTATGCAAAGTAAAACATTTTACTTGTTACTGGGTACAAAAACTTTGTTAATAAGGCTTCACATTCTACATTGCAACAAACCTTTAAAAATTGTGTAATAGCACAAAACAGTATCTACACTTACCTGAAACAGCTACTAGATACTCCCTTTTTTTCAATTACGTATTTGTACCAGGGCACATTTACTGTACTTCAGCTGAACATACTGTAACAGATTGAGTGCAGAAACAGATCAGGGAATCCAGCCGTCTTCTGTTCAACCAGTCATTAAAGAGAATTGTAAAAATGTAAAATGATGCTGCATTTGTCACTCATTTTTCATTAAATGTTATTGAGTTAATATTTTAAGATTTTCTGAGTTACACTCTAATTCAACAAGTATTAATAAGTATAATCAGCAGTTCGCTGGAGGCAGCCTGTACTCACTCAAGAGCTAGCTGTTTAAATTTCAGAAATTTTTGCAAGCCCGATATTGAAGAGCCATTACTTTATTTATTTATTTATTTTTTTGGTACCAGGGATCAAACTCAGGACCTTGTGCTTGCGCGGCAGGCAGCGGAAGCACTGAGGAAAATCCCTGGCCCTATTTTTATTTTTTTATATGGAGAATCATTACTTTAAAGTTAAATGATATCCAAAAAAAGGTTTTTGGGAATCAGAAAGTGATACTACTAAAACCTCATCACATTCTAATTATTTTAGTGTAGTGTACTGTGCTATACTGTGTTTGTAATACTCAAATCCTTTTCTCAGTCTAAATTCTAAGTGTCTGACTTTAACCTACTCAGAGGATCAATTTGGTAAAATATTTTACACTATATCTTCACTGGTCAGGTATTTGGAATACAGCTTCTACTTCTTTACTTTTTTTAGTTTGGAAATTTTCAATTAGGGAGTCCAAAGATACCAGCAAACCAAACGTAATCCCTATTTCATATTTACATATACATCATTAAGCATGCATGAGGACGGGTGATCCCCAGCATAACAAATAAGAAACATTAGGTACACACACACAAAAAAAGATTAGACATAAGGTTTACTTCCTTAATTGTCTAGAGTACCTCTATTTATTGATGGATATGCAAATACTTAGACTGAGAAAAGGATTTGTCTTGAGGTACTGAGGAGTGAACCCAGAGTCTACATGTACTAGCCATATGTTCTACCACGGAGCTACATCTCCAGCCGAGGTGTTTTGGTGAAATAAGGAAAGAACCTTGTAGAAGCATCTGAAATGGTTTAAAGTTTTGTTTACTTCATTAGAAGTCACATCTTACAATTTATGTCTCTGAGGGGTTGTAGTTGGGGGAACGTCTCAAACCTTCAATAAGCACAAAACTCTAGAAAGACAAACAGCCATTTATTAGTAGTTATTTATTGGAAATAGAATCAGAAGTAGAATTGAAGGTCCTTTCTATATACTGAACAGATATATACAGGCTTTGTTACACAATTCTTGAAATGCCTATGTCTCTTTTGACCATTCAATACTGATTTAGCCTGACCAAAATACATACCATATTGGCCTATAACCAATAATAGGCAATTACACTAAAGATTACTAACTCTTTGCATATTGGAATGAAGAGGTTGGTAGGGGAACCGCACTGACCTGCATTAGCATTCGTGCCTAACCTGAGTTTTTGCCACATGGTAGTCAACCTCTCTAAAGCCTGTGGCATCCCCATTTTAAGCTATGATAAACTATTTGTAGTTCTTCGTGTATCTTTTAAATCTTTGTTTGTTTTGTTTTTTGGTTTTTTTGTTTGTTTTAAATCTTGGTAGCTAGGGCCTGGTTGCTTTCCAAAAATAGGACAGGCAACACGCTCGCCCCTGGCATGTGAACGTACTTGCCAGTGCTGCCCGTTGGCATCACAGGTAAACAGAAGTATATCAGTACATGTTTGTATGCTAAACTAGAGTTTGCAATCAGATTTTTGTGTGGTGGTTTAGAGACCAGTATGGGATTAAAAACTGACAACGAAATTAAAAAGGTGTGTTTGTTTTGGGGATAATTATTTTGGTTTGTTTTCTATTTAGGTACATTCAAACTAGTAATAGAATTTTCTGAAGAATATCCAAATAAACCACCAACAGTTAGGTTTTTATCCAAAATGTTTCATCCAAATGGTAAGTACCAATTTATTAGACATTGCAAGCTGTTGGGGGTTGGTTCCCTCCTGTTAGGAAGGGTGTGTGTGCGTGTGTGTGTGTGTGTGTGTGTGTGTGTGTGTGTGTGTGTGTGTGTTTTGCTAGGGACTGACCCCAGGACCTTGTGCAGGCTAGGCAAGTGTTCTGCCACTAGGGATGAGTCATGTCCCCAGCCCATTTCTCTCCTTTTAGGTCTACTCTCTCCTCAGTTAGGGTCCCCCTGTAGGTGTTGCTTCCATGTCCATGTTAGCCACTTTTTTGTTGTTGTTGTTACCGGGGATTGAACTTGGGACCTAGTGCTTGTGAGGCAGGTGGTGGCACCACTGAGCTAAATGGCTGGCCCCAAGCCACATTTTATTTATTTATTTTTTGTACCGGGGGTCCAACTTGGGTCCTTGCACTTACAGGGCAGGCGGTGGAACCACTGAGCTAAATCCCCAGCCCCTCGAGCCACATTTTTGTATCTGGAATCCTATCAAGGTTTCACATTTGAGGTTCAGTTCTGTTTTAGTAACTTCTGAACTGAAAGTAATGTGTAACTGGTTATAGTAGTGCATGCCATAATCCCAGCCACTTGGGAGGATCGCAGGTTTCAGCCTAGCCTGGGTAACTTAGCAAGACCCTGTCTTCAAAAGCTCTGGTTTCAATCCCCAGTCCTGCCAAAACACAGACAAAAGATTTTGTTTATGAAAAAAATATTTTCTTTATATAAAATAAGGATCATATTTATGTCAACTGTTGTACTGTTACTGTTTTAATATCCCGTGTTTTAATATCCCGTGAACATGTTCTTCTGGGGTTTTGTTTGTTTTTGTACTGGTGACTGAACTCAGGGTTGAGCCACACGCCCTGCCCTGCATCATTTTTAATGCCCCTCATCATTTTAGTTCTTTTACATAGATTTGCCGTAATCCATTTACCCTGTGTCCAGCTGTTGGTGGCTTTCAGTTGTTTCCTTTTTCTTCTCCCTGCACCCCAGGACTGGGCATTGAACCCAGAGCCTTCAGTGAGCTACATACTCCATCTTTTTTATTTTTTATTTTTTTTAATTTTTTTTGGTACCGGGGATCAAACTCCAGACCTTGTACTTAGAGGCAGGTGCTGGAACCACTGAGCTAAATCCCTGGCCCATCTTTTATAAATTTTGAGATAGGGTCTCCCTAAGTGCCAGGTTGGGCTCAAGACTTGGAATTACAGGGATGTGCTATCAGGGCTGGCCATTCTTTACAATTTTAAACAGCACTTTGAATTTTTTTCTTAATTAAAAGAAAAAAATTTGTTTTTTTCAGTGCTCTACTTCTAAGCTTTATCTCCAAGCTCCCAGACATTCTTGAAAATCAGTCTTCTCACATATCATTGATTACTTCCTCAGAAATGTTTTAAAAGTGAGATGACTAGAGCTGGGCCTGCTGGTACGCACCTGTAATTCCAGTACTCTGGGAGGCTGAGGCAAGAGGATTTCAAGTGTGAGGCCAGCCTGAAAAAATTAGTAAGACCTTATATCGAAAAAATAAAAATGGGCTAGGGATGTATGTGTGTGAAGGCTGAGTTTAATCCCCAGTACTACAGAAACAAAACAGAACGGAATGCGGTCGTTGAAAAAAACAAATCAGAGTACAAAGAAGGATAAAAAAATAAGATCATTCATAATCCTGTTAAACATCTACTTACATTTTGATGTTTAATCTTAAAATGTTTTGTGATTTACATACACTTCTAGTGAAAATATATATCTTTTGCCAAAATATAGAATTATTGGATATAGCTTAAAACTTGTTTTTAAAAGGTAAGATACTGTATCTATGTTACTAAACAAAGGGTACATATAATTTTCCGTGACTATGCCAGTGATGGTTATATGAATGTTTGTGTATAAGCAGAGTCTTGCGTAGCTTGTGCTGGCCTCAAACTCACAATCAACCTGCCTCAGCCTCAAATGCTTACTTCTGTGAGTTGGGGCTGGGACCTGCGGCTTTGTGCTGTCAGGAGGCATCCTTAGCCCTGAGCTCCACCCCCAGCCCCAGATGTACCATCATTTATGTACCCAGCCCCATCATTTTGTGGACTACCAGGGAGTTTCCCATTTCACTATTGTTGTAAACATCCTGTAAATAAGTCTTTGTACAAGTTCATGGTTATTCCCTTAGTTTCTAGGAGTGAACGCGATATGTCAGTAAATAAGTTTTTCAAGAGCTTTATTTAGAAATACAGATGTGTATGTGTGCTGGGTGTTGAACCCAGGGCCGTGGTCTGTTGGGCAGGTGTTCTACCACAGCTCTGCACTTCCAGCCTTGAAATACAGAATTTCAGTAGATTGCTTTATGGTATATGTTGGAAAAAGACTAACCCATTCCTGATGATAAGATGCAAAATCAGAGACTCGTTTCAGTTTTGAAGACAGGTTTTCCTATACGACTAAAAGGTTTAATGCCAGGTATGGTGGTCTACACCTAAAATCTCAACACTGTGAACTGAGGCAGGAAGATCTCAAATTTGAGCCCACTGTAAACAATTTAGCAGTTTAGTGAGATCCTGTCTAAAAATTTTAAAAAGGGGCTGGGAATGTAGCTCATTGTGAAAGCCTTGGGTTCATTCACCAATACTACGAAAAAGCAAAGAGTTTAGTTATTTCCTAATAGCTAAAACTTCTTATTGGAGCCAGGCATGGTGGTGCATGTCTATAATCCCAGAGTTTAGGAAGCTGAGGCAGGGGGATTGCGAGTTTGAGACCCCCCCTGGGCAATTTAGCAAGACCCTGTTCCAAAAACAAACAAAGTCCCAACAACTTCTGACTGGGCCAGGCATTCAGTTTATTTTAAAGACTTTTCTTAACTGTTAGGTATGACAAAGTTAACACATGTAACAAATTTAGTGTTGTCTTTGCAGTGTATGCTGATGGTAGCATATGTTTAGATATCCTTCAAAATCGATGGAGTCCAACATATGATGTATCTTCTATCTTAACATCAATTCAGGTAAGTGTGTTAGGATGTATCATAGTTTTTCAGGATTCTGTGGGATACTTTCAACTCCTTTAGGACCAAGTGAACAAGCGAAGCTCATTTTCCCAGCACCCAAGGGGCCAGTGGGAAAGCTCAAACAGGACTGTGATTTTCAGCTGGCTGGTTTGCTTTTATGTCAGTTGTCCATGTGAGATCAGTCCTCAGTCTGTTTCCCGATCCTGTGTGAATTACATATTCTTGCAGGTCAAGCTTATGCCCATGTAGCGTACGTAGCCAGGGGTTGTAGAGAAGAAATTCTTCAGGAGAGGTAAAGGTGAGTGCTTGGAAAACCAAAGGGACCTCAAGAAACTGCTAAGTACAGAGCAGCATTGAATATGCTTTCCCACCTAAGCTTTTCTATTTTTAAATAAATACAGTGTAAGTGTTTGTCCGGGCAATCTGAGAGAGTATTTCTGAGTTGACCTTAAGTAACAGTTTCGGAGGATGCATTTGGTTTCTGACCTAGGGTTTTAGAAGATTTTTCGGGGCTGGGGATTTAGCTCAGTGGTTCTGGCGCCTGCCGTGCAAGTGCAAGGTCCTGAGTTCAATCTCCAGTACCACCCCCAAAAAAGATTTTTCTATCAGACTTCATTCTGGTTGTCTTATAACCTTTCTTTCCCTCCCTGCTAAATGTATGTTTTGTTTATCAAGGGCAGCAAGATTCACCCCCAATTTACCATCAGATATTTGCAAAGTAACCCCCAGACTAGAGTTTAAGACTGGGAGAAGGCTCAGCTGTGGGAGCACTTGTCTGGCATTTAGGAGGCTCTAGGACCAATTCCCAGCACCACAAAAATATGAATAAATTTTAAAACAGAGTTCATTTGGAAAATGTTGCTTATTAAGGTGTTTATGGGTATTATATCTTAACCAAAGTAAGTTACTTCCTAGTTAGTGAGAGTCTTGGTATGTTAAAGAGAATACTGTTTTGTTATTGTTTGTTTTGGGAAGGTTCTAGGATTAAAACCAGGGTCTTCACACTGAGCTTTATCCCAGACCTCTTTTCTTTTCTTCTGTTCCCTTCTCTTCTCTTTTCTTTCCTTCTTTTTTTCTTCTCTTTCTTTTTTGAGACAGGGTCTCACTAAATTGCCTACGGTGGGCTCGAACTTGCCATCCTCCTCCTCCCTCAGCCTCCCAGTACTATTCTCTTCCGATACTGAGAATTGTTTTAGGAGCCTAATTTCTTTGCAGCAGGAAACCTCTTAGCCATTTCTGAAAGTGTTTAGACCTAAAAATAGATGACATACAAACCTGTAAAATAACTTGTTGTGTATAATGTTTTCTATACTCCATAACTGAGCCCTGCTAGTATAAAGAATAACTGTAAATCTGTTTTTCCTTCTTTCTTTTAGTCTCTGCTGGATGAACCGAATCCAAACAGTCCAGCCAATAGCCAGGCAGCACAGCTTTATCAGGAAAACAAGCGAGAATATGAGAAGAGAGTTTCGGCCATTGTGGAGCAAAGCTGGAATGATTCATAATAGACAACTGGTCTGTTCATCTCTCTCTTCATCGCTGTGTATAATTTACCTCCCAGTAGAAAGGCTAACATTTTAAGTGCCACAAGTTGTAAGGATTCTGCAAAAGAAAAAAGAAAAAAAAGGTCCTTCATTTAGAACCTACAAAAGCTTGTGTATCTTGATTAATGTACTTTTTATTGCATGGTGTGAACTAAGTTATTGCTGCATAAATTTGTAATATATCCTGTTTGTATTTTTTTCCAAGTGTATAATGTTGGTGTGGAGTTTTCATGACAGAATATACACATTTTGTAAATCTGTACTTTTTTCAAATATTGAATGCCTTATTTTTGAATTCTTTAGATTTTTAAATTGGAGAAAAGCACTTAAAATTTTTTATATATGAATATTACATGTAAAGCTGTTAAAATACATAACTTCAGTGCAAGAGACTTTGTCACTTATTTCCTTATCTGTTAGAAGGGTTAATAAGTCTCTAGCTCTCCATCAGTTGATAGTTTCAGTTCCAATTGCAAAAGAACATGTTTCTATTTTATCAAGAAAGTCTTCAAATTTGATTCTGGATACTAATTATAATCTCCAACTTTATTTTGAATGCACCTATATTAGTTTCAATTGAGTAGTTATAGACGTAACTGGCTTGACCCCGCTCGGCTCTGTGCTGAGGCCACTTGCTGACAGTTTCTCTGTGTGTTACTGTTTAACTGTACCTTTGTAGTTTCACATTGGGACCTCTACCACGAGCAGAGAACTGACGCAACTTATTCTGCTGCTTGGTAGCTCTTGAAAGGCTTGTGATGAATGAAGAAGGTAAAAACCATGAACGTTTACCAAAAATTGATGCCCCAGTATTAGCAAAGAATTGGTTGCATTTTTTGAGTAAGGCAGATATTTGGAAGGAATCTTGGTGTAATTTAAATATTTGAAAACTACCTTTTAATGCAATTACGTATCTGTTTATTCTGAGAAAATGTTTTAACACCAGGGCCTGCTGAGTTGCTTTCTCTCGTGGAGATTTTCTTTTTAATCTCCTTAAGTTGTATAAGTTGTACTGCATCTTAGTTTACTGGATAAATTTAAAACACAGTATTGTGGAAAGCTAATACAAGCTATCTTATGCTTTCAAATAGTATAGAAAATGGAAAATACACAAGTAAATTCTGTTGAACCACCTGTGCAGTCTCTCTAGTGGTTAAAGCAGCTGTTTCAGTACCCAAGAGTTTCTTGTCGCATCCAGACCAGTCTCGTAGAAAGAAGCTAACGGCATCTTGTGTATTGGAAGATTGGGTTACAGGATGGCACTATCTGCAGCCTGTATTCACTCAGCGGAGTTTACACTGCAGTGACTCAGTCCCCACGCTGCCCCCTTAAGTCACTGCCTGACAGGTGTGGGGGTGAGTGAGCTTGGAGACAATGGTACCAATGGGAATTCATGCGCTGGGGCCATGGTCCAGACAAGATGCCTGGCTCAGCAGTACTGCAGGGTCACGTTACAGGGCTCATGCTTCTGTACTCCGGTGACTCCCAGATCAAATGAGTGGTTACTGTGGAGGTCCACCCTTGCTTCATTAAGTGCCATCTGGGTAGAGCTTCAACACCCATTTTTATCTGCGTCTCGTCTCTGCCTGTGCAGTATAAAGCTGGACCATTGGACATACTGACAGAATTATGAGAGTTACACCTTGACAGGGAGTTCAGTGCACTTACTCCTTAGGTCTGCGCCTACGAGAATCTCATACTTTGCCAGGTGCAGTGGCAGATGCCTGTCATCCTAGCACTCTGGAGGCTGAAGCGAGAGGATCACTGTGAGTTCAAGGCCACCCTAAAACACACAGCAAGACCCTGTTTCAACCCACTCCCCTGAAAAAGAATCTCATACATGTCCACATGTACACCTTTTGGAGAAATTCTTAGGAAGGATCCATCTCTTGGTAATTCTTGTTTCTTCCTTCAGCCTTGGAACAGATTCCTGTTTCTTTGGTTCAGTACCAGATGTGAAGCTTCAATTTATAAGGTTATGTCATACAGAAAAGTGTTTATTTTTACACTTAATTTTTTCTTTTGGTACCGGGGATCGAACTCGGGACCTTGTGCTTGTGAGGCAGGTGGCAGAACCACTGAGCTAAATTCCTGGCCCCTTTACACTCTAATTTTTAAAGGTATGGTATGGGAAGAAGCTAGAACTAAGATTTATTCAGGTACAGCATTATATGGTTGGATTTGTTAAAAGTTTAAATGTATCTGTGACACCGTTTCATAGTAACAGTGCTTCTAGACTAGAACAGTACACTGGGCACTGTTTTAGCACTTTAACATAAATTATTCCTTCAGCTCGTGGTCTACGAGGACAGGACCGTTATATTACAGGTGAGAAAAGAGCCTCAGGGATGGCGACTTGCACAAGGTCAACCAGTCTGATCTTACACCTAGTAACTGCCCTCTCCCTTAGGAAATATTAAAGGGACTGAATTTACTCTGATAGTCTACTAAACTTAAATATTCATCCCAATTTCTGGGAATGTTTCAGTCGCTGTAGAGTTGAACACACTGTATCTACCCAATGGAAAAGGGTTTCCTTATGCCCTACCCTCCCCCCCCAATATGAACAAATCAGGTCTGGATATGGGAATACTTTTCCATCTCTGATATAAAGAACTGTTACTGATCACTAAAGCACATTTCCCCCTTCTCTGAAATGTGCTCGAGTCTGTAGGAGTAGCCTACACTCCTCAAACCGACCACCCCCAGCAAATCGGATCCATTAATATGAGTAACTTTTGGAACTGGTACAAACTTACATAGGTGGAAGGTAGTTGAGGAGAAGGGTATTCTATTTGCCGGCCATGGTCCCGTGCTCGGTAAACAAAGGCACTTGGCCTACATACGTAGTTCATTCAGTACTCCGTGATGTGCTGCTGTAGGTGGGACCCTAGGTACATATGTGCTGAGCAGGAGTTCTACAATGAGCTACACCTCCAGCTTTGTTAGTACTCTTTAAACATCAGCTTGGCACTCAGCAGAACTCAGTTATATTTAAGTTGGGATTTTTTTGTGTTGGTCTTTGTTTTTGCAGTGCTGACAGTCAAACCACATTAGGCAGGCGCTATACCACTAAAATATATTCCCATCCTAAAATGTGTTTTTTGTTTTGCATTTCAGGGATTAAACCCCAGGCCCTCGCACATTCTAGGCATCACTGTACCACTGAGCTACAGCCTCAGCCTCCCCAAGATGTTTTGATACCCAAGTTTTGAGAGGTAGGGATCAAATTTTGGGAGTGATTGTGTTTGGTACAATGCCTCTCTATTGTATCCAGCAATACAAAGTCCCAGTGGAATCTGGTTATATGGGGATTATGTACATAAACACAAGGTCAGTGGTTGGAAAGCTGTTAAAGGAAAATGAAATAGCTGGGCGTAGTGGCACATATTTGTATTCCCAGAACTTGGGAAGCTAAGACAGGAGGATGGCCGGGAGTGGGAGACCAGCCTGAACTACACACCAAGACCCTGGCTCAAAAAAAAGGTAAATGAAATTGTCGATAGGAACAGAGGCCTATATCACAATGTTCCATCTAGTTAGGGAAAAAATTAGCGGTTACTCGATAGAGGAACAACATTATCTTCCATTATTGTAGTGTATGACAGCAAAGATACTAGAAACTAAATCTTACAGAAAGGATTTTTTTTTTGGTACCGGGGATCGAACTCGGGTCCTTGCGCTTGTGCAGCAGGTGGCGAAACCACTGAGCTAAATTCCCGGCCAGGAAAGGATTTTTTTTCCATTCTTTGAGCAAAAAAGTTATGTGTGCCATTCTTCAATAAATTCTCTCCACCATTGCTATAGCTTTATAAAATAATTTTGACATGAAGGTTTATTTTGTTCTGAGACAGGGTCTCACTGTCATGTAGTTCAGGCTGGCCTTGAACTCAACTGTGGAGCTCAGACTGGCCTCAAACTCCTAGTGATCCTCCTGCTCAGCCTCCCAAGTACAGGGATTACAGACATGCGCTACCACGCCCAGCCTGTTGTGAAATTTTAATGTTTTCTCTGTTCATAGGATGGGTTAGTGATTTTCTTAGCTGGGCGAAAAAGAAGAATCATTTGTGTGCCTTTATAAAGCTTCCTAGGATGTGATTGTGCCACACACGGTTCAACATTTGCTCCATGATAATTGAAATCAAGAGCCCTGGAAGAGCCACCCATGTGGTACACACCTGTGATGCCAGTACTCTGTAAGGCTGAGGCAGGAGGACAGCAGTTCTAACCTGGCCTGGGCTACATAACGAGAGTCTTTAAAAAAAAAAAAAAGGAACCCTGGAGGGACTTTGGCTGTAAGCCCCTCTTTAGCATGTGAAGGTTCAGGCTTGGATGAGAAACTTGCACATGGAATGACTTTAAGGAACTCTGTCACTGAGTGGTAAAGCTTGGCCACTTGGTGCTTTCTATCATCGATTTCTGCATTGACCCGTAAAAGCACATACCAAGTACTGCTGAGAGAAAGCAAGTAACTGGCTGATTAGAGAAAGGTCTAACACAGTAACAGTCCTGGTTACATGTCTGATGGTTGTGGGTGTGTGTAGCTGTCATCAGGTGCCCACTTCCGCAGGCACAGGGCCCTGGGTGTGGTCCCCAGCAGTGCACAGGTACACAATACCGAGATGCTGCTGTAGTCCTTGAGGGAGCTGGCCTGTCTTGAGTCTTACCTGGAAGACTGCGGTCCTTACGGTGCCTCGGGTTGGGAACTTGTGTTAAGGGGATCAGAGCCTCTGAAACTAAACCCCTTAGTCAGTCACCCTTCCTGGACACAGAACCCTCTCTATGAGGTCTCAAAAGCTACCAAAAGGAAAACACTAGCACATTTAAGGCGCACCTCTTAAAAGCAAGGGCCCAGGTGATGGCATACGCCTGTTATCCCAGCACTTGGAAGGCTGAGGCAGGAGGATCACTGTGAGTTTGAGGCTAGCCTGAATTACAGACGGAGACCCTGTCTCAAAATTAAAGAAAATAAACCACCAAAAGGCTTCTCTTAAGCTCTGAAGATGGAGTTACCTTCTTCCCTTCCTCCTTTTCAAACAAGATCTTTTGCCAAGAATACCACAGTCCACCGGCTCAGGTGGATGGCAGCACTCCTGAAGAAGAAAATATCGTAAAGGTGTGCAGTTCTGGGTGGCCTGTGGGAAATCACTGTAGAACATAGTTGGCGATGTTATGGTTCTGGGTTGGTGCTGTAAGTACAAAGAACAAGAACAAGGATCTAGAAGCTGTTTACCTAAAAGACCCTCAAGTTACAGCCAGCCTGACATCCAAACAACTTGGGTTACGACCAGAATTTTCGTTTTAACTTACGAACAAAGTCTTGACTTACGACCCAAATGCTGGCCACTTGTGCTCCCAGATGGTCTCAGATACAGATTTAACCCTTAAAAGAGTTCTGGAGGGAACATTACAGCATCCTTTCCTGTGTGGGGTTCACTGAGCAATCCTGGGCCAGTGTCTCTCTGTGGACACTGAGATCTGCCTGTACTCAGGAGAGACTTTGAAGGCTGTGTAGAGGAGCTTAAGCCGTCACTGACCAACTTGAGTTACAACCAGGCCATGAGAATGAATTGAGTTCATAAGTCAAGGGCCCACTGTACCTCATCCCAAATCTGAGGGCTAATTTCCTCTTCCTATAGAAAAAGATACTTTGGCTTGGCTTGATAACTGTACTGGGCAGAGACTGTAGGGAGGACTCCGGAGACTGCAGCCCACATCACCAGCTTTAGGTGCACGCTGGTAGAATACCTCCAAGGAAGAGCTCCATTAGTAACCTTGCTGGGATTTGGGTACAGGGGCATTCCCACACGGGCATATAATGCTGAGGTTTCTGGTGGAGGCCTACGGTGACATCGGAGGAAGGTTGCCGTTAGAGTGAGAACAGTCCCAGGAGTAGGCACAAGGGTGTTGTGCAAGCCAGCAGGATGAGCGAGGGCAGCCGCTCTTGAGGCCAGACAGTCGTAGATCTGACATGTGCATCTGTGACAGTTCTCTCTCCCTGGCTTTTGTGAGCGTATGCCACGGTGTGGGCTGTTTGTTTTTGGCAGGGACTGAGTCTTCTTTGGGACACAGCAGCTTGAGAACAGGCCACAGTCGGCATTAGGGACCACATTATAAGAACAAATAATGCCAGAGATAGTAAAAGTCCTTTTCCATAGCCTCAGCCACAAGTGGCCTGGCCTGAGCAGGAGGTCTAGGAGACAGCAGAGGACCTTCGGGGTCCAGGCTGAGTTCTCTGGGGACACTAAATAGCTGTTCTAGGGGTTGGTTGGTAATAAAAGTGGAAAAGTCATAAAAAATAATTTGGTAAAGTACAGGACCAGGGATTTAGCTCAGTGGTTCCACTGCCTCCCTCGCAAGTGCAAGGTCTGGAGTTCGATCCCCGGTACCAAAAATAATAATAATAATAATTTGGTAAAGTACAAAAAAGTAGAAGGAAGCACAAGTCCATTTTTCCACCTGAGACGTTGAAGAGAGGTAGTCGAAGGAAAGTTGTGGCTATTTGGCCAGGGTCCAAAATGCCCAGGCAGAGCAATGAGGAATCTAGCTGGTTTTACAGGACAATATGGGACAAGCCTCCCACTTAGCACTGGAGCAAGGCCATACTCAGTAGGAACTCCAGATCCAAAGACAGGGGTTCTAAGGAACCCACGTCAGCTAGTGGGGGCCAAGTTGCACATTAGACCCTACTTCCCAGCTTGGAAAGATCTACCCTCTTGCAGCCCTGGGATCCAGCTTGGTTGGCCACTTGATAGATTCAGAGTGATTGAGTGAGAGTGTGTGTGTGTGCGTGCGTGCGTGCGTGCGTGTGTGTGTGTGTATCTCAGCTGCAAAGTTTTCCTGTCTTCCCAGCTTGGCCTCAAAGGAAACCGGTGGGAATGAAGCAGTGAGAGCCTACTTGAGTGCCGGTTCTTTCACAGACCATAGGTCTTCCATAGAATCCTTCAGTAAAAACTAGACTGCCACTCTGCAGAGGCCTACCTGAGGTAAAGTGGTGCCTCGGTCCTCACTGTCATTGTATTTGGTCCCAGGAGGTGCAACGAGCACCAAAAATGACAAATATCAAACTGTTTTGGCTGGGAAGAGTAGTGAATTGCAGGACAATCAAAACCAACAAAGTCTAGCTTGCCTGTCAGTACCACGTGGTGAGCACTGGGACAAAACTTTCACATCAAAATGTGTTGCGTACCAACTTGATGAGTTTCAGAGTACCGAGATATGGTTCACTCAACAGGAAGGGAAGTGTACCAGCTCACACAATGGCCAGTTCGTGTTCCCAGTCCTTCCCCTAACAGTGATATTCTCTCAGGCCAATGAAGCTGAGTCAACTGTAAAGCAGAAGAGACTTGGGCTGGGGTCAGCTGGGTTGTATTCTAATGAGGCCTCTCTGTCTCATTTCAAGGACAAAATCTCTGGCTCACATGCCCAGGTCTAGGTGAAAATCAGCTTAAATCTCATAGGAGCTTAATAGTCTCATTTTTGTTTTCTGTTCTTTGAGAGCCTGTTCAGTTGATGACCTTTGTACTCTACCAGCTCAGCTGGACCTAAGTGTGTAGGTATCTCAGCGAGTCTTCCAGCCACCTCTGTCACTCACAGAGCAAATGCAAGAGACCCTAACCTACTGCTGGCATTGGGACATCATCCAACCTGAGGGCAGCCAGCACTGCCACCCCCTAGACAAGGAGTCCTGACCCACAGGAAGAGCAGTGAGCTCTGAGGAGAGTATGGCCTAGCTGGCTTTTCCTCACACACACAAAGGGCAGAGATCTTTCCTTGGCACGTACTCAGAATTTGCTGAATGCAGCAATTTCCATATAACTAAAAGTTGGTTCAGGTTCTCCAACTCTTGCCTCTGAAGATCTGTGCTTACTCATACTCCTATAGAGGTGTCACTAAACTATTCAGAGATGAGAGCCATGTGACCTGGTGCATGGCACACAGGCCTCAGACACCAGAAGGTGACATATCCTTCCAGACGTATGGGTTCAGAGCAGACTCTGGGGCTGAAGAAGTGGTAACACAAGTTACCTGCCATTTGGGGGGGACAAAGATCTCTTCTTAGATGGGACAATACACACTTTACTATAGACTGCAAATACCAGAGGATGGGCAGTAATCCCTGCCAGGTCCCACACAAGGGTAAGCAACCAGTCCAGATGAATCCTGGAAAGGTTCAGAGGAATTCTTTACTCTGATAATTTTACTCTGATGAGGTAAAGGTGGGCCACAGACACTAAGGGATATTTCAGAAAGCAATTTTCTGCATGTTGGATAACAAGAAAACATCACTGTTAACTGAGTGTAACTGAGCACATACTTGCTTTTCACAAATCCTGAGATATCTTTAACTAGAAAGATCCCCTCCTCATCAGTACGTAAAGGTTTGCTGCTAACTGGCCCTTCATTAAACTGGAATGGCCCAAGACTAGTCTCAGGCAAATGAGGTTGGAAGGCCAGATTTGAGTATCCTTTTTTCGGCTGATTTGCCTATAAGCAGAGAAAGAAGAGACTTCTGTGATCTCACTGTTTTCTTCCCAAATCTTGGGAAGAACTGTATATATAAGGCCAGAATCTCGCAGTTGAATGTGGTACGAGGTCTTGTGTTAAGCCTTGTTAAAGGGCTCTTTTGCCAGGTATAGTGGCACGCACCTGTAATCTCAGTGCACTCAGGGAGCTGGGGCAAAAGGAAGGCTGTGAGTTCAAGGCCAGGCTAGCCTCCACAGTGAGTTCAAAGCCAGCTTGAGCTACACAGTAAAATTGTCTCAAAAAAATTTTTTAAAGAAGGCTATTTTACCTACATCACAAGGAATGCTGCAACAGAAAATTTAGATTTCTTTGCTACTTTTCCAGAAATACGTGAAGAATGAAATTCTATAATGCTAACTGATTTTATAGGTGGGATAGTAAGAGTTGTAAAAGAAAGATGAGGAAAAACTAGGCAGTTTAAACTGAGGAAACAATGGAGAAAGAACCTGTTAGAAAATGTAATCAGAGAACTTAGAGAATCTGTCTTCAAAAATAAATTGAAGGATGGGGCTGGGATGTAGCTCAGTGGTACAGCACTTGCCTAGCACACGCAGGGCCCTGGGGTCAATCCCTAGCACTGCAAAAATAGTCAGACTTGGGCCAGGGATTTAGCTCAGTGGTTCCGCCACCTGCCTCACAAGCGCAAGGTCCTGAGTTCAATCCCTGGTACCAAAAAAAAAAAAAAAATTTCAAGTAGAATTAAGGAAATAAAGGATTTGGTTTGCTTCAGTGGGGGGGGAAAGGCCAAGAAACAGAATCACACTTAAAGATATGTTGTTGAAAAGTGCAAACTATAAAATTTGTTACCTGCCGTTATTATATCAACATTTTTTAAAAGGAGTATTTTATTTTTGGTTTTGGTTTTTGGTTTTTTTGAGGCAGGGTCTTGCTATGTAATTCAGGCTGGCCTTGAACTCACTAAGTAGCACAGGCTGGCCTCAAACTCACAGCAATCCTCTTGTCTCTGCCTCCCGAATGCTGGGATTACAGGTGTGTGCCACCACACCTGGCTGAAAAAAGCATTTTAAACAAAGTTTGGCTTGCACAATGTTGATAAAATCGTCTCAGAAATGCATGATTATAAATACAAAAACATCCATGCATACTTTCACAGTGACAGCTACTCGAAGAATGAAGACTTTTAAAAAGCCAATCCAGACAGATTCCCACCGCATCCTTGTGTTGGTGATACCAGGGTTCTTAAGGAGCTGGTGTGGTCAGTTCATCCCAGCCTCCTTTCTAAACCTGCAGCCGATGATGAAAATGTGCGAAATCCTTAGCTTTGATGCTGGGGAGAAAGGAAAGAAAAAGTTAGGTAGCCATGAAGTCCAGTGAATCAAATTCATCTTCATAAAATTAAAATACAGCAGTGATGTTTTATGTTCAGTACTACCCAGATGGTAAGTCTACTCAGAAATTATTAATATTTCACTGTGTCCAGAAAATTCAGCAAAATACTGACCACACCATCCATTTGGAAGCCACAACCTAATGTTCTCGTCACTTACCTGATCTATAAATGCTCACAATTTAAAGCAAGAATGGGAATACTTAAAATGCAGCTTTTCCTGGTGTGCTCCGTAATAAAAGGCTCTAAAAGCAGAGCGCACAAACACTTATTGTTCTAAATTAACAGCAGTCTGATTCAGGTAGTAATTCACAACATTTCACATTGAGTCAGGGTATTTAGGAGATGTGAAGGTTCTGTATTTCTGGAGTTCACACTATTAAAAGCTGTAAAAGCATGTCTTCAAATAGTGGTGAACTGAAGCAGACAGATTCTTTCTGGGTACTCTCTAGCACCTTTGATAAATTTAACTTGGCTTTGGACCACCTTTTAAGCAGGGTGCGAAGAACCACTTTGGCTGTCACCTTGTATTCGAGTGGATTTCCTTAACATTTAGCAGTACGAATGAATCAACCTGAGAGTCTTTTTAGCAATCAGAGATTTCAAGGTATGACCTACTTCCTAGCAAACCAAGTCAGTCATTTTAAGAGAGGAAAAAACAAGCACAGCATGGTGGCACAGGCTGAGGCGTGAGGGTTGCAAGTTTGAGCCCAGCCTGGGCAACTTAGCAACCGAGACCCTGTTTCAAAATAAAAAAGGGCTGGGGATACAGCTCAGCCTGAAGGACCTAGGCTCAATCCCCAGTACTGCAAAAGAAAAAGAGACAGATGAAAATTCAAGTCTTCAGCAAAAGCAAAATATAAGCAGCCTTTCTCCTTCTGGGGGAATCCGGTTCACTTAAAGAACCATCTTCACTCCCAAGAGGAAAAGCCGTCTCTCACATGGCTCCCAGGCACTGGCCCACAGCAGCACAGCAGCTCTGACTGGTCCTGGCTGCAAGCACAGTCTTCCTCACAAGGCGCCGGCAGCGGTTTACCCACCTTGGGTACGGGACAAGAGTAGCCTGTGGAGTCGGAGATGGCTCGACTTCTGTTTCTAGAATATTAAAGCAAAAACACAAGCAGCTCCGTGGAGAATGTATTTATCTTGGGATGTAAGACCTCCTCTGATTGAAAGGGTCTGAAAGGCTGGTTTTTTCTACCTTAGAACACGGCTGCTTTCACCAAAGCGTCACCTCAGGGTGTGCCAAGACTGGGCACAAAAGAGAGCCTCTTGAGACGTGGGCATGCTTGTTTTCACTTTTCTTCACATTTCATCTACCATTTTTCCTCTCGGGATAAACATGTTCTCAGAAAAAAGGGACCCATTAGGCTGACAACTTTTTCACTGAGCCAATAATGACAGCTGCCCAGTCAATCACTCATCCCTCCTTGCTGGAGACCTTACCTTGGACATACTAACTCTGACCTCCCTAGCGATGACACCCCCGAGTCACCTGCTGCTCTTTATCGTTCATGACCAGGGTGCCAGGCAGCCCCATGGGCTGGGAGCAGAAGCCTCAGGTGGATGCTTAGAAATCAAAATTGTTTGCTCAATATATTCGTGCTTGAATCTCCCCCTTTCAAAAGAAAAAAATCATACCCTACAACTGTTTGACAGATCCCACCTGTCTAGCCAACCACGGTGGCAAATACCTGCAATCCCAGAACTCAGAGGCTGAGGCAGGAGGCCTGCAAGTTCAGCCCCAGCCTGGGCAACTTAGCAGAATCCTGTGTCGAGATAAAAAATAGAAGGGCTGGGAATGCAGCTCAGTGTGAAGGCACTGGGTTCAAGCCCCAGTACCACCAAAAGTAAGAAACAAAAAAATCCCACCTAACGAGGACCAGTGCTTTGGACAGGCCAGAGAGGTGCTCATCTCAAAGCTGCAGAACAGCCAGAAGTATTTTTAAAATCTTACTGAGAGGCCTTAGGTCTCCAGTCATCATCACTGTCTGGGCTCAGGATACCAGCAATGCCAGGGGATTCATTTCGCTTGCCAGTGAGCTTGAAAACCCAACTATACCCTAATTTTAGAGCTAAGGGATCAATTCTGGGCAGCATAACAACAGACATTTTCAAGCGCACAACGTGACATCAGGGGTTTGGATTTTGTTTTGTCTCTGTGCTGAAATTCCTGCCTAATGTTTGCCAGCTTCCTCTATTACACGCAGAAGCTGCTGTGAAGACCCCAAGGCCCCCTTTCCAGAGATTCTCAGAGTGGCCTTCGGTGGCGGGACAGCCATCGATGCCACGGAAGTCAGGACCTCACACAGGTGACCTGGCTCACGGAGAAGTTTCGGTCCTATTGGCAGTGCTGGGCTTGGAGAGCGCTAGGCGAGCACTGCACAACCGAACTCCACCCCAGGCCCAGAAGGCTGGCCAAACTCAATGCACCCTCTCAAGTATCTCACTTTTGAGGAGCAGCAGAATTTCGTTCACTGTCATCAAGTCTAAAATTAATCTTGGTTACTACAAAAATATTAGTTTTATTTGAAGGCAGTTGCGACACACATAACTCAAAAAAGCTGCAGAGTTCTGACCTCCACACTGGGCCCCTCCCGCTGCTGATCACTTACGCTTAGTGAGATGGCAGCGCTGCTCCCAGGGACATGAAGTTTGGGCTCGAGGACACTTTAGAAAAACTTCCCAGGGCAGGGGCCCTGTACATTTCTAAGGTGCAGGAACTCTACGATGTTGAACAGTTCCGACAGAGCCCTCCCAACATACACAGACTTCCTACTTGACAGTGCTCTGGACATGCCAAACCTCTTTGCTTTCCTCCCAAGATCTGAGGCCCAAATCTCATTAAGTGTTCTGGTCTCTGAACACTCTCATTAAGTGTTCAGATTAAAAACCCAAAGAATTTTTTTCATTGTTTTCTCTTTAAGAAAAACAAATCATCTGAAAGCAAATGGGGTGAAATTAAGATCGAGACTCAAATACTTTCTGGGCAGGTAAGGATTTGATTAGTTCCTTGAGTTAAGGGAACTTCTTGCCAGGTACAGTGGTGCACATCTGTAATCCAGCAATTGGGAGGCTGAGGCAGGAGGATCACCATGAGTTCAGGGCCAGCCTGAACTACATAGCAAGACTCTGTCTCAAAAAAACCAATCGATAAATGAACAAATAAAGGGACCTCTTTATGTGCCCTGCCTCCCAAAATAACTATAATGGGTTTAACAAGGGCTTACCTATGTTTCTGAAGATAGAACTAAAAAGGGGCCAGCAGCTCTTTATTGGTTTGGTCAACTTTTTTTGTTTTTTTGAGAAGGGTATCCCTATGTAGTTTTAGGCTGGTCTTGAACTATGTAGCCCAGGCTGGCCTAGAACTTGAGGCAATCCTCCTGCCTCAGTCTTCTGAGTACTGGGATGGTACTCACTTCAGCTCATATACTAAAACTGAGTGCTGGGGTGACAGGCATGCGCCACCGAGCCTGGCTGCTTTGGTCTGTTGTGTAAGAATTTTCTGAGTGTCTTCTCAAAGATATTCCTACACTGGGTTTTACAGAACTAGAATAAACTAAAACTAGAACTAAGGACTAAACGTCAGGCACCCTCAAGGTAACAGCATGCTTTGAAAGAGGACTGGGTAAGCACCAACGGGAGTTTAGGAAAAGAGAAAGCAATTCTCCCACCTAAGGAACTGGGACAAAAGTAACAGGGATGCCCCACCTCATCTGAGGTTCCTCCTGCTACATGGTAGAGCCCCAGCTCTGGGTCCAACACAAGAGGCTCAGCAAGTGCTCAAGTCCAGAGCCTCAGACTGGACCGATCTCTGCAGACAAGGGAACAGCGATGGGATCTGGACTCACTCCAGCCCCATTCCTGTCCACGAAGAGGGCCAAACAGGTGACACAGCCCTCACCTGCTGGGGTGGAGATGATGTACTTTGCCACCAGTAAGATTTTTTTAACAAGTGGGAAACTTTAGCACTTTAGCCAACATTTTCTTTAAAATAAACAAAAAACTTAAAATGGAGTATTCCTTGACAAAGTGAAGAGGTTGAGCTTAGGGATTTTTCATACTGAACTGTTACCTAGTTATCAAAAGGTATATACTAATCATGGGGAAATAAAAATAAAAGGGCTTAAACCTGTGGGGTAGTAAATAAAAGCATTTAAAAAACAATATACTCTAGCTGGGCATGGTGATGCACACCTGTGATCCCAGGACTTGGAAGGCTGAGGCAGGAGGATTGCCCTGAGTTCAAGGCCAGCTGAGGATACATAGTTCAAGGCCATCGTGAACTACACAGGGAGATTCTGTGCAAAAAAACGAAAACAATTGAATATAGGGTCATCAAACCAGGGACCATTAACTACACATTGGTTCATCAAATGCACTTGGAAATCCTGGTTACCTTTTTCATTAATTCACTTCTGGTGGTAAACTGTGGCAAGTCTTCCACTTCGATTCCATCCGCCATTTCCATTACCTTGTCCAGAAGGCCTTTATTGTAACTGCACAATGAAAAGTACTAAGGTAAAAACCAGAGCATTTACAGTCACTTTGAGTTAATAAGAAATTGCCAGTTTCTTGCCTGTAAACTCAACTCTAGAACTGAACTTTTTTTTTTTTTTAAGAGATGGAGTTTCACCATGGTTCCCAGGCTGGCAGGGAATTCAAATAATTCTCCTGCCTCAGCTTACCCAGCAGCTGGGGCTACCAATGTGTGCCACTGTACCAGGGTTTCCAGAGAGCTAATTAGATACTCCAGGGGAAAAAGATACATGCACGGATACAGCAGAAGGCTGGGAAATAGTTCTTCCCACTTGTGGGTACAGAAGTGGGAAAGAATGTCAACAGAGCAGATGTTTCAAGATGTACAAAAGGAAATCCTCTTCCATATATCTGGAAGTACTTATTCAGATATGGGACGAGGGCCAAAAATATTTTTCATTACTTTTTTAAGCATGTAGAATGTCAGTCTTATGAAAATAACGTTTGTTCATTTGCTCAATTTTGTTTTCTTTTGTTTTGAGCCACAACCCCAGGCTTTTTTCCATTTTCTGAGACAGAGTCTTTCTCCTTGCCCAGGCTGGACTTGAACTTGCAGTCCTTCTGCCTCAGCCTCCCAGAGTGCTGGGACTACAGGCATGGCCAGCTGCTCTGCTTAATTCTCTGACATGTGCCTAACCTTGAATCTCATTAACCAGGATTTCCCCAGGGTCACCTAGAAGCCAGAAAGAGGGGATGGCTATGTCTGGCACGACTTCCCTATATCCTGTCCCAATAAATGCCAGCACCTGAAGAAAAAAAACAAACAAGAGGCTTTGGGGCTTAGATCGTAGCTCTGTGGTAGAGTTCATGCTTAGCATGCACGAAGTCCTGGGTTCAGTTTCCAGCACTGAAGGAAAACAACAAAACATGGCTTGGAGGGGCCAGATACTAGTCAGGGTAGAGAAGTTAGGACCAAACCAGGCCGTCCTATTCCCATAACACAGCTTCAAGGAGCTCTAAAATAAAAGGATCTAAGGAAGCCATGAGATCCTGAAGGCAGGTCCTTGCCCTGCTGATGTAGTAGCCAGGATGCTGTGGACATCGGGACGGCGACAAAAGGCATCTGTTATTCTCATTAGAGGGAAAGCAGAGAAACAAAGCTGACTGCTGTCAGGACCCAGAAGGCTGGGGCGGGGGCGCAAGGGACACAGATTATGTCCCGCGATAGTGGTAAAAAAGTTCCACTCCAGGGGCCAGGGATTTAGCTCAGTAGCACCGAACCTGCCTCACAAGCACAAGGTCCTGAGTTCGATCCTTGGTACCAGGAGGAAAAAAAATCCCACTCCTGCTAGAGGTTGCATGTTATTTCCTCTCCTTCGGGGGTGTTCTTAGTTTCTGTCTCTGTTTCTGCCATACGGTTTAAAGGAGTTCATGGACTTAAAACGTACTCTGCAAAAGTGGTAGTTTGAGCTAGTAATAGTGATATAAATAGCATTAGCCATATAGCAGCTCGGGAGCCCAACCATGTATTGAGCTCTTCATGGTTTAATTACTGTAGTCATCACAACCAAAGCAGGACACTGAGGCTCAGCAGTTAAGCATCTTTCCAAGAGGCTGCAAGGCGGGAAAGAGCGGAGGTCACCCACGCGGCGGGAACTGGGCGGTGGGCGCAGGCTCGGTCTGGGACAGGGGTCTCGTCCGGGTGAGCCCTGGGAGGGCGGAGGGTCGGCAGGTAGGGGACAGGGTCAGCCGACCGGCAGGGGTCCGCACCTGCAGCCCAAGAAGAGGTGATTGGCCCAGACCATGGAGAGGGACAGCAGCTGGTCCAGGCGGCCGCCTCCGTCTGGCGGGTCGCGGTAGTCGGGCAGGTGGCGCAGGATGAATTCCATGCGAGCCTTCCATTGCTTCTCGCTTTCGGAGTAGGACCGGAACTGCTCGGCGAAGTCGGCCGCCTGTCGCACCCCGGAAATCAGCTCCTCCACCGCGGCAGCGGCCTCGCCACCCACCATGGCTCCCAGAGCCACCACCGCCCAGAGCCGACCCCGCACGCCGTCCTCCCGACAAGCACCGCGCCAGCCCCTCGCGGCTAGAGAGGCCGCGGGGACGCGCGACTGCCCGGGAGGACCGGCCTAGAGCGCCCTCTCTGGGTGTGGCGGCTTGCTGGGCCTCTTCCTTCCAAGCTCTGCAACCAGCCGTGCGTGGCGCTTGGCGTTGGTCTCCGGAGGGCTGAAAGTGCGATTCAGGATCCACGCCGCAGGGAACCGGTGGAGAAACCGAGGCCCACAAGCACAGAGTTGGAGCGCTTCCCTCCCAGGGGGCAGCTGAATGCCAGCTGGAACTATGCTGTGTCCTTTTACCCTGAGGGTTTCCCAGGCGCCGCCCTACCCCGAGAGATTTAGGGAGCCTGGGCCTCGGAGGGACTGACACGGGTCTCCACACACCCCCCGCCCAGTTTGACCTGCTTTCCTGGAGTGAATGCTTGCCAGGCACTTTCCTAGGGACTGAGGATGCAATGAAAGCAAACCCAGAGCCCTGCTCTAATGAACTTTATCATCTTGTGGGGGAGGCAGCCATAAGTGACGTTATCAAAGAGAAACCCGAGTGCCACAAGCTGAATAAGCAAAGAGACCTTCCCCAGTCCTGGGGTCAAGGAGGGGATGCTAGAGAACCAGAGAATGAGCAGAGGTTCTCTTAGTAAAGAGGAGTAGACCATGGCAACAGAGTCACCTGGTGAGAGAAGTGCAAGACAGAATGGGAAAGGGAGCAACGAAGGGAATGGAGGAGATGAAGCTCCCGCCGTCAGCAAGGCCATCAGGCCCAGGCAGGGTTCCTGGTGCAGACCGGAAGAGTGGAACCACTGAAGGATTTTAACCACAGCAGCGACCTCTAAGTTTCCAGACTGCTTCCCAGAATGGATGTGTCCAGAGGAGATAAGCAGGTAGCTCCGAGGGTGTTTATTTAGCAGGTTTGACTCAGCCATCTGTTATAGGGTCATGTAAAGACCCACTGAGTGGCCAGGGATTTAGCTCAGTGGTTCTGCCGCCTGCCCCGCAAGCGCAAAGACCCGAGTTTGATCCCTGGTACCAGAAAAGAAAAAAAAAAAAACCCCACTGAGAAACAGAAACTCCCCTCAAAGTGGTGAATTCCCAATCTGTAGAAGCATTCCACTTCAGCAACTAGAAAATTCCCTGAGCCCCACCAGACTTGACAGATTATTGACTTAAAGGGCTTCTCCATCGTTCCCTATCAAATGTGAGACTGAGGTACTGAAGTGGGCCTCAGAGGGCTCCAGTGCAGGTCCTACATGGTCAGCAGGACTCTGGTGCAAGACCTGACCGTGTGCTGTCTGCTGTTTCTGCAGCTTCTGTTGGGGTGTCAGGACCCCAGCAGCCAGAAGGCCAATCCTGTATAGAAATACAGGGTCGTCTGAGGACCAGCCCTGGGCTCAGTGACAGCCGCTATGTTGACAGGAAGGCACACTCATCAGGCAGGGGAGTGTGGCAGGCTCTCTGACACCAAAGACAGACACAGCTTCTCCCAAAAATCTAGGTGCCCAAAGTGCAGGCCCATGTCCTGACTGGTGTTCTGATTTATATCTCCATGTCCCTCCAAAGCCTCGCGTGCTCATAGGTGGGGGTGTAGGGAGGTGATGGGGTCATGGACATGATAGTCATCAGTGGATTAGCCGGCTGATGAGTTTACAGCTAAATATGATGGGAAGTGAATCCTGGTTGGAGGAAGTGGTACTGGTGGTGTAGCCTGGAAGTGTCTGTCTCTTTCCCTCCTTCCTTAATGATTCTCTGGTTCCTGTCTGCCATGCCACAGACTGCTTCTCCTCTGCCATGCCCCTCTGCCATGCCACCCTGCCTTAGAGCCAGCTGACTACGGACTGAAACCTCTACAAACTGTGAACCAAAATAAACCTTTCCTCCTTAGAGTTGTAGGTGTCGGGTATTGTGTCTCAGCAATGAGAACTGAGACAACAGGCTTGTTAAAATGGCAGATTGTCCCAGCACTCAGGAGACCGAGGCAGGTGGATCATTCTGTGTTCGAAGCCAGCCTGGGCTACATAGGGAGTTCAAGTCCACCCTAAACTACATAGCAAGACTCTGTCTCAAAACAAACAAACAAAAAAGCAGATTCCCAGGCCCACTACTGGATGTTCAGTCAGGCTTCCAGTTCTACTTTCAGTTAACCAAACTTTTCAAAGCATTCAGTGTGCCAAGCACAATGGTGAGCACCTACCTGTATTCCCAGCTACTAGGCATACTGAGGTAGAAGGATCACTTGAGTCCAGGAATTTAAGCTATCCTGGGCATAGTAAGATTCCATCCCTTAAAAAAGGGAAAAAAGAGAGAGAGAGTTGGGGGGTGTAGCTCAGTGGTAAACCACTTGCCTACAATGCACTAGGCCCTGGATTCAATCACAGGCACCTCACAAAGAAAGAGAGAGAGAGGGCTGGGGATTTAACTCAGTGGTTCCGCCACCTGCCTTGCAAGTGCAAGGTCCCCAGTTTGATCCCGTTACCAAAAAAAAAAGAAAGAAAGAAAGAAAGAGAGAGAGAGAAAGAGAGAAAAGCACTTAACATTCTTGAGGATCCTCTTAGTCAATTTCTTGGTCACTTAATTGTACCAGCAGAGGTTGGCCCAGAAATAAGAACTCAGGGTTTGTAAACAGCAGCTACAACTATAGATGTAACCTTGCCTGTAGGACTTGAAAAAGCTAAGGGCCATGCAGATACCACTCTGACAGTGATGGGGCATCTGCATATAAGGTATGTACACACAAGCATCTTCTGGCTCACATTCAGCTATAAGAACACAAAAGTGCACAGATAGGTCTTTCCTATTTCTTTCTTTCTTTTTTTTTTTGGTACCAGGGATCAAACTCGGGACCTTACACTTGCGAGGCAGGCGGCGGAACCACTGAGCTAAATGCCCGGCCCTCTTTTTTTTTTTTTTTGTACGGGGATTGAAACCAGACTCTTTGTACTGAGCTATTTCCCTAGTCCTTTTTTATTTTTATTTTTTATTTGAGACAGAGTCTCAATAAATTGCCCAGGGTGGGCTCAAATATTTGATCCTTCTGCCTCAACCTCCCAGAATGTTAGGATTATAGGTGTGTGCCACCACACCCAGATTATTTTTACAATGTGGAATTTTTAACATTATACAAGTGACAGAATTATACAGAACATTATTTATATTAATATTATACAAAATGTGATGCAGTTTTTAAACTCTTTATTAACACTTCACAGAACTCTGTGGCAAGTCCAATTACTGACCAGTTTATTGTTTCTAACTTGTTTTTATGATTCAGACTTTCTTAGAGTATACTTACTCCTAGAGACAAAATCAGTTTTCCCACTTCATCTTTTTCCTGTTTTCAACCATTTAAAAGTCCGAAAAGGGGCTGGGGATTTAGCACAGGGGTTTCACCACCTGCTGTGCAAGCACAAGGACCCGAGTTCGATCTCCAGTACCAAATAAATAAATAGTCCAAAAAGTATTTTTAGCTTGTAAGCTGGCACAGGCTACATGCCATTAGCCTGTGGATCATAGTTTGCCAAACTTGTGATAGCTTTGTGGTGAATATTAAAATCAAATGACATGAGCCCCTCAGATGTGTTCTTTCATAAAATTGTTCTGTTTTAGTCTATTGCTGTATAAAGTTTGACGTTTGTCAATTTCTAGAAAAACAAGCTGCTGTCATTTCAATTGCAATTACATCGAATTTGTACAGCACTCAAGGCAAAATGACTCTTCCCGTCCATTAACATGGTATGGTGTATCTCTCCATTTACTTACACCTTTGTATTGTTGTGCTATTTCTTTAAATCCAGAGAAGCATTAGGCTTATGTTCATATTTACAACTTTAATTTTTCTTCATTCCTTATCTATCTCTTACCTTTTATCTAGTTTCATTTTCCTTATACTTGAAGATTATAGAGTATATTCAGATTTCTTTTATTAGATGTCTTCAGGTGCCCAACTCTTTTCCCTTTGTCTGCTGGGAAATGTCTTTATTTTACCTTCGGTTTTAGTTGTATGGCTGCATAACAAATCACTCCACAATTCCGTGGTTTAAAGCAATCCACGTGGGGCCGGGGATTTAGCTCAGTGGTTTTGCAGCCTGCTGCGTAAGCGCAAGGACCCAAGTTCGATCCCTGGTACCAAAAAACAAAAGAAAACAAACAAACAAAAAAGCAATCCATGTGTACTGTCTCCCAGTTCCTGTGGATCGGTGTTAGGGAGTGGCTCACCTGCTTGTATGAGAGGCTTCGAGCTCTCTGTTGTCCAGCACTGTGGGCAGGTGTAGGTTGCCCAGGCCGGGGGCACCTCCAGGGTGGCCCACGGCCACGGCTGTGGGCAGCTGGTCATAGCTCCTCACTTCAGGCCTGCTCCACTGCCGAGTGTCCTCAGGGGCAGGGACTTCCTTCAGACAAAATGAATCACAAAGGAGCAAGGCAGTGCCACAATATCTTTTATGTCTTGGGTTACATGCCATCATTTTTGATTTACCCTGTTCATTACAAGCGAGTCACTAAATCTAGTATACATTTCAGAAAAGGGAAATTAGGCTCTATCTTTTTTTTTTTTTTTTTTTTTTGTGGTACCAGGGATTGAACTTGGGTCCTTGAGCTTGCAGGGCAGGCAGCAGAACCACTGAGCTAAATCCCCTGCCCTGGGCTCTATCTTTTAAACAAACTATTAGAGTTGTGAATGTTCTTTTAACCATCACATCTTCCTCTCCTCCTCCTCTTTCTCCTTGTCCAAGATTATCTTCTAGAATACCCTCACAGTTCTTTTTATTGGAAACCTTAACCTAATTCTAGAAGAGAGTCTAGAATATTTCCACTACTTCTTCTCCTCTTGCTTCTCCTTCTCCTCTTTTTTTTCAGTATTAGGGTTTGAACCCAGGGCTTTCACGCTGAGGTATATCCCCAGTCCCATCTGTTTATTTTTTTATTTTTTGGTACCGGGGATCGAACTCAGGACCTTGAGCTTACAAGGCAGGCGGGGGCACCACTGAGCTAAATCCCCAGTCTCCCAGTCCCCTTTATTTTTAGTGACTCCTTAA